ATTTAAGGAGAGTTGGAGGACAGGCCAGTAGTTGGTAAAGATGGATGACACCATCTCCTGCAGCACTCCCTGGGACCAGCCCCGGCTCCACCTCCCCGCCCCCCCATAAAACAAGGATACCCAAGGAGGACTTGGGATGGTGAAGAGAGCACTGGCTATGAGCCAGGCTGCCTATGCCTAAGGCCTGACCTGGCCACTTACCACTTGTGTGATGTTGGCTCTGTCATTGTCACATGACTTCTCTTAGCCATGCCTTCTCATCTGCCTACCTCGCAAGATTGCTGCAAAAATCAACCCAGCCATTTAGAAAAGAAAAAACAACCCAGGAGATGGCTACCAAAGCTCTATGTGACCTGAATGGCTAAGGTGGTACAGGTATTAATAATAAAAACTGTAGCAACAGTAATCACAACTACCAGGAGGAAAACTGGCTGCTAACTGGCTTTTATTAGGGAAAATAACAAAGAAATGTACTTTCTCCCACACCTTTGGTTCCCAGCCAAAGGTATGTGGCACAATTCTCTGAATAGAGTACGAAAAGCACCACAGGTGGGACTTGAACATGTCATATAATACATATAATGACATGCTCGATACATACATATAATGGCACGATTGGCCGGGCGCGGTGGCTCATGCCTGTAATCCTAGCACTCTGGGAGGCTGAGGCGGGTAGATCGCTCAAGGTCAGGAGTTCGAGACCAGCCTGAGCAAGAGCGAGACCCCCGTCTCTACTACAAATAGAAAGAAATTATCTGGACAACTAAAAATATATATATAGAAAAAATTAGCTGGGCCTGGTGGCACATGCCTGTAGTCCCAGCTACTCAGGAGGCTGAGGTGGGAGGATCACTTGAGCCCAGAAGCTTGAGGTTACAGTGAGCTATGATTGTGCCACTGTACTCCAATCTGGGCGACAGAATGAGACCCTGACTCTAAAATAAATGAATAAATAAATAAATAATGAAAAAATAAAAAACTTTGGGTTCAGCAGTCAGGAGATCTCCAAGTCTTCTTCCAGCCTTAGCATGTCTAACTGTGTGATATCAGGCAACTTATCTAATTTATCTTGAAGTAATTAATTGAACTTCAATTTCTTCTCCTGTAATATAAGAAAAATACCCATCGCAAAGGGTGAGGATAAAATGACATAAAGTGTGCAAATGTGCCCAGCAAGATGTCAGTCACATAGTAGTTTCTTTTCCTAGAGACAGAACAGTTTATACTGTCTCTAGGAAAAGAAGGGGTAAGACGAGGTTTCCAGCACTATTGCCTCTCCTGCTTTTGTCCCCCAAAATAAATTCTCATGGCTCTCCCTTGGGCCCTCAGACCAGAAGTGAACACCTCTCTCCCTCCACAATCCCTAGGGTACTGGTGGAGGAGACCTCCATGTTAGCCTGGTGAGACCCTATGCCAAGATGGTGCCCTTTGGAAGCTGGCCCCAGAGGGTCTAGGACTCTAGTCCTAGCACATAGTGGGCTCTACATAAATATTTGTGGAATAAAAGACAGAAAACTTCCTAACAATGAAGTTAGGGGAAAGTATTCCTGAACATTCTGCCTATCTTTTCCCCCCTTGCTAAGGATATTTTTTGGCTGGTCAGGAGGCTCTCTTCTCCTACCTCCATAGGAGGTAACATCCAAACTAGGAAAAGCACTATGATTTATTGGAGGGAACTAGGGTTGTTGCTATAAACCCTAAGTAAGACAGGAACCCTTCTGTAATTCACAGACTTCTCAGCAACCTCAAGTCTTGGCTCCAAATCTGAGGCTCCTCCCATCTTACTCTGATTGCTGCTGGGCCTCTAGGGTAAGCTCAGTCGTAGATCTCTCCATATTTCCCCCTACCTTTGGTCCCCCTCCTATTTCATCTTCATCTCCTCATGCACCAACCCCAGTCCTACAATCCCAGACCCATCACAAAAGCCATTGTCTAGCAGAACCAGGCTCCCTGAAGGCATTTGAGTTCTGCTTTCCATTATTAATACCCAGCTGTCACAGCAGAGTGGAGAGTTCTTCAGCTCCTGCCCAGCCCCCCAGCCCCCAGAGCGTCCCTGGGGGGAGAAGAGGACAAAGTCTAGGCTATGTGATTCCTACATTAAGGCTGTATTGGTGAGACTGGAGTACAGACTGTGCCAACATGGATAGGGAGTGAGTAGCAACGCTCAGCTATAATTAGTCACCCCCACAGCAGAGCCTGCACAACAGGGAGGAGGAGGAGGGTCTCGGTGGAGAATGGACCACTGGCTGCTCAGAAGGGAGGAGGAAGGAACAGAAGCAGGGAAAAGCAGCTCTATTCAGGGAAAAAGGAGTCTGAAGTACAACCTTCAATGCTATGAGGACTGAAGGAGGTCGGATATATGAAAGCATCTCTGGTAGACAACACATAGTCAGCCCCTCTCTCCCCCAACCCTCCAATAAATGGAAGTTTCTTATACCCCGAAATGGGAAGAACATGAACTTGAATGGGGAGGGAGGGGTCCCACACCTAGAAGCAAGAAGGCAGCATCTTTAAGTGAGGAGCAGAGGAGAGCTAGAGGGAAAGTGGTAGTTTAGTATCCCATCCAAGAGAATGGACACTTGGACGTGGTCTCCAGGGAAGGCTGCTTCCCCAGGACGAGGATGCCTGGGTTCTCCGTAGAATACCATCCCCTGAATGTCCCCGCGCGTGTGCTCACTGCTAACAGGGGTTTCTCAGAGGCTGGGGACTGGTGGGGGAGGGACCAGACGAGGAGGGCTTACTGCAAGGGGAAGAGGGGAGCAGAGAGGGCAAAGGAGCCTAAAGATGGAGCTGGGAAGAGCGGGGGCAGCCCTCCAGCGAGGCAAATCCTCAGGGTTCCCACGGGAGGAAACCGGGAGGAGGGAGAGCCACAGAGGCGGCGCAGGAACTGAGTGAGAGCCCGGATTTGTGGAATGGGAACCTAAGTCCCGGCACTATGCAAGAAGCCAACCTGGATCTGGGGACCCGGGTGTTGGGGGCGGGTCCGCTGCTGGCCGCCGGCCTGGCACACGCACACACGCACTCACCGATTTTGGCCAGGCTGGCCACCAGGATCCACAGGGCTACCAGGTAGGGCGCCTCGACCTCGTGCCACTGCCAGCGGAAAAGCGCCAAGCCTGGGGGAGGCTCTCCCGGGGACCCCAGCTTCTGGGGGGGCTCTTCGGCCGCCCCCGCCAGGGGCAGCGCGAGCAGGGGCAGTGCGGCGAGCAGCATCCTGCCGCCTGCCCAGCCGCCCTCCCGGCTCCGCACCGCCGCCAGCCCAGCGTCGCCGTCGCCGCCGCGGTCGCCGCCGCCTACCGGGCGCCCCCGCGTCACAGGCACGTGGGGCTCGCTCCCCCCAATCCCGGCTCCGATACCTACAAGCCAGGTTCGGGCTCCGAGATTCTGTCCCGGACGCCCGTAGTCGGGACCCCTCCTCCTTCCCCCCGCAACGTGTCTCAGCTCCGGAAATTCCCCGGTGCAGCCCTGCCCCAAGTCCCGCAACCTACTCCTTCCCGTCAGGTCCCCCAAAACCGCCCCCACAGGATTCAGAGAGGTGAGCGGCCTTGGCTCTCCTGGGGCAGTCCACCGCGGGAGGCGCCGGGGTCCGCTGCTGGGCGCGGCTCCTTCTCCGCCAGTGCCGCCCGGCGGTTTGCAGCCCGCCCCCGGTGCCAAGGCTGCGGGCCGCGGCACGGCCGGGTGCAGACGCCAGGGGGCAGTGCTCGGCCGCCGTCCGCGCCGCCCTCTCAAGCCTAGGACCCCCTATCGGGCCCATCCCGGGCCAGAGCTGCGCACGCGCATGGCGCTCCCATAAAGCCGTGGTGGACAACGCTGCCCCCGACGTCGCCAGAAACTCCAAGACCCAAACTAAGCCCAGCTCATTCCAGGCGGAAAACGAGGTTGTTCCTCTTCGTCTCCCAAATCGAGGGGCATCCGGCCCTCCCTTTCCCTCACATACAGAGAACGATTCTTACCTTTTCCGTAAAGCTGAAGGGAACCTATGGAAAACTCAGCCTATTGATTCCCTTCAAATTAGGCGGGTTCCACCCAACTTTTTCCCCAAATCTGAATGGCATTCAGCTTATCTCGTCCCAAACAGAGGAGGATAATCTCCACTTTTCATTCAAGCTGAGGGGAACCCATCCCATTTCTTCCCCAAAACTGAGGGGAACATGTTCTACCTGCCTCCTCAAGCTGACTCATGCTATTCTTTTCACAGAAAACTGAAGGGCATCCGTCGCTCTTCTTCCCACAACTAAAGGGAACTGATCCCACCTCTTCCTTCAAACTGGGTGAAAGCTATTCTCACTTTTTGCCCCAACCTGAAAGGGACCCTTTTCACTGCTTTCCCCAAATGAGGGAAACATCCACCCATCAAACCGAAGGAATTAGGGCTATCTTGCCTCTAAACTGAGGGAGACCGGGCCGACCACTAACTGAAGAAACCTTCGGGCCCCCCCCCCAACACTCCCTCAAAGAAAACGCAGCCTCCCCTACCCAAGCTCAAAAGAAAGCCTCCCCGCGGGGGAGGAGGGGCGCGAGCTCGGGTTTTCCCGCCCTCCTAGCCAGTGAACTAACGGGATTCCCACTGGGCCCTCTGAGTGGCTGGCGCAAGCCCCGCCTCCGGCAGTGGTTACCCCCACGCGCGCATTCGGGGACTGATCTTGGCTCCACCCCCTTCCTCGGCCACGCCCCCGTCTAGCTCCGCCCCTCCGCCGCGTCCGGCCCGGCCCGGCCCAAACAGCAGAGCTTCGGTATAGTTGAGTAGAAGCTGCAGCCGGGCCGGGACCTGGAGGCGCGCGGCGCAAGCCGGTGGCAGAGCCATGGCGGGCGAGGAAGACCGCGGGGACGGGGAGCCGGTATCAGTAGTGACCGTGAGAGTGCAGTACCTGGAAGACACCGACCCCTTCGCGTGTGCCAACTTCCCGGAACCGCGTCGGGCCCCCACCTGCAGCCTGGACGGGGCGCTGCCCCTGGGTGCACAGATTCCCGCGCTGCACCGCCTGCTGGGGGCGCCGCTCAAGGTGAGAGGGGCTGGAGAAAGGTTGGGGCGATCGGGGGTTCAGGGTGGCACCATAAAAGCCGGTGGGGGTACCCCTTGGGGAGAGGCTGGAGTGGGTGCTTTGCTCTCCTGCGGAAAAGTCTTGGGCTGGGGTCTCAGGGTCCACGCGGCCTCGCCAGTAGGGGGCCCCTCCCAAGTTGAAGGGAAACTGAAGTGGGGTGATAGGAGCTTGTGGTCTGCGCCACCCTGGCTGCCCCTCGAAGTGAGGCCCACCTGGGGAGGTGCTCGGGGCCACTCGCTGCCCGTCTGCCAGGGTGGCTGCCTTGGGCAGGGTGACCGGAGCTATTCGGGCTGTAGCGGACCCTGGAGGCGGAGCTGAGGAGGGACCAGCTTCCACCTGCTTCAGGTGAGCTGAGGGCGGGACCACGAGGAGGGGCGGGTCCGGGGCGGGCCACTAGAGGTGGCAAAGGCTTCCAGCGGTGTCTGGAAGCTAGATTGGGTCCTGCCGGATACTCTGGCCCCTGCAGGTGGGGGCTCGGCCGGGCAGTGCCGGCTGAGGAGACTTCACGGGGTGAGGGGAGTCCCGGGAAGCGGCCTGGCCCGGGATACGCCGAGCGCAGGAGGCTGCACGAGTGGAAAAGCCCTTTGAGTCACCGCCCCCACCACCCTGTACACCCGCCGCCCGTCGGCCCGCGCCTGGAAGTGAGAGGAAGGGCCCGGCTAATTTTAAACTGCCGGTCTGCCCTAGTTTGCCGCCGCCCGAAGCAGACTTGTGCACAGTGCGGTAAAAGGCCCTTTTCCAGATGGCCGGCCTTACCTTCTCTTTCCTCCCGCTCGCCGCCCTCAGCCCCCCACAAGCAGCCCTTTCCGGCGCGCTGTTTCCGGGCCAGTACTCTGAGAGGCGCACTGCCACGCACCCCCCACCCCCGGGGCTCCCCGCCAGCCAGTAGGCTTCTAGTGGTGGGGATAAGGAGAGAGAGTTGCGGGGGGTGCCCGCCCCTGTTCCCAACCTCAGCTGGGCGCCGAGTTGCGCAAACTTGCCCCCTGGGCCCGGGGTCTCCCCTGGAATGTGCCCCGGGCGCCAGGCCCCCAGCCTGCATTCCTCGCACTGCAGCCAGCCCCGCCTCCGAGCCCTGGCGGGAGGGGTGGTGAGACTATTGGCCTGGGGAGTGGCGCGTGTCCGGGCAGAACCCTGGCTTCAAGGCCATGGCTGGAAGCCTGCAGCACAACTGCTCACCTCCAGAGTTTTGATGCAGCCCCCGCTTGTCCTATCCTATTCAGAGGGGCACACAGAAGTGGGCCTGGAGGAAGCGGATGCAACTGGAGGTCACCTCCCATTCAGGATGGGGGCCGGGAGAAACGAATGTTGAACTGAGGCGGATTCCCGCTTCCAGCTTCCTGGAACTCCTGGTCCTGAAGTAAGGCTGGAGCACTAGAGAGGAGATAGTATTCCTCCCATCCTGCCACTCTAGGACTGGACCTAGGTTTTATACCCCTCTTCACAATTGGGGGCAGGCCTGGGAGATCAGCTGCAGGAAAGAGGCTGAGAACCATCTCCTCTCCCCCTCATTTAAGGACCCATCCCTACCCCACCCCACCCCACCAGGTACTCTGCTCTCTGTTCTCTGCTCTCTAGCTGAGAATGCTACTGAGCTCCGGTGGAGAATGTAACTTTCCCACCCCTAACTCAGTCCTTCCTGGTCTCCTCCTTGTCATGTTCTCCCACCTGGAGTACTGCAGGACTGCCTCCCCTCCCCCACAGGGATATGGGAGCAGGGCACACTAGGTTACCACAGTCCTTGGAGCCAGGACTCCTTGGGGCTGGCAGCTCTGCCAGGAATGGTCAGATGCACTGTGATGTGCTCTTCCCAAATATAAACTGTGACCACAGCCCCAGAATAGAAGGCTGGAGGAAGAGGGGCTGAGAATAGGGTAGGGACATCAGAGAACAGAGGGAGGGGGAGCAGGGCCCCTCCTTGCAGGAAATGTCAACAGCTGGTTCCTCCCCTAGTCCTATAAGTGGGTGCCCCAGAGACACACATGACTCAGGCCTGCCTCGCTAGCCCTCTAGAGGGGAGAGATGGCCCAGAAATCCAGACATCCCTATCCCAAGCTGTAGGGCAGAAGAGGAAGGGGTTCTCTACTCACTGTTTCATCCTATGCACAGCTGTCAAGCAGGGGACAGGACACAGCCAGTGGCCTCTGCCCTCCTTCTCTGGGCACTGGCCCCCATCATCCATACAGACCCTGCCCCCTCCTTGGGGAGGTACAGAGGCCAGCCTACTTTCTTGCTGGGGCTCCACCCACATAACCCTTTGGGTTGGGCTGGGCCTAGCCCCTAGAGTTCCCCTGGGGGCTTCCATTTTAAAGAGCTTTCAGGTCTGAGAAAGCCTTGCTCATTTCCTCCATGTCTAGGAGGAAGCTCCTGGCCACAGCATGTGACTCATCTCCTGGCCCTGCTTGGTTGGGGGGAGCCTGGCAGTGCCATGGGCCAAGCCTAGTGTCCCTAGAGGAACTCAGGAGTATCTTCCTCCCCTCTATGCAAGGGGCTTTCCCAGCCCGGGGACCTGCCCTTGCCCCAGAGGAGAATGTGTCCCTCTCTCCCCCATCTCATCTCCTAATCTAGAGCTACCCAGTTCCACCCTCCCTTCTGGGAAGTGCCTCAGGAGCTTCTCCCTGAGATCCAAAAGCCCTGTCTTGTCTGGGATAGCAGTGACTTCTCCCTAGGCTCCAGGCAGAGGGACCTGGGGTGCTGCTCTAACCCTACTGCACAGACCAGAGGAGCCCCTTCCTCCTGGCAGAGGGATAGCCCTAGAAACCTGGTTATTACTAGCAACCTTGTTTCCCCAGCTGGGGCTAAAAATCAGAGTAGGGCAGGGGTGACACTGTCCTAGAATGTTTCCCCAACACTCTCTAGCCTCTGTTTGCACCTTAGGAGCTCCTGTGGCAAGGGGGCTTAAGGGTGAACCTGACCTGTTGGGATAGGAGCCAACTGAAGGGGTCCCCAAGGATTCTTAAAGGGACAATGGGGTTCTCTGATGATGAACTAAGCTCATTAGCTCCTCCCTATGGGAGTCTCTTTGGGAGACTGTAGAAGATTGGAAATTGGACATAAATTGCAGCCTCCTCCCAGCCTTCCCTGGGGCCAGCTTCTCTGCTAGTCATTCTGGGTTAGAATGGCTGAGCTGCAGCTTGGTGAGGGACCCTAGGACCTACGTCCTGGCAGAGGTAGGCATTATTACCTTAGCATGTACGGGAAGTGGGGTTGGGGGTTGTGTTCTTTCTCATTCCCTTGCTGGAACTGGGAGGACCAGTTTGGGGTATTTGCTGAGTCCAGAAAGCTGAGAGTTGGTTTCCAGCTCCTGGCAGTACTGTAGGCCCCAGGCCTCACTCCACCTCCCCTCCAGGGTTCCCTGGAGCACTTCCAAGGCCCATCCACCTAAGATCTGGGTCAGTTAGCTCTGGTTCTGTTCTTGGCTTTATAGCCTGGGGCAATTCACTGAATTTCTGATTCTTGGTTTCCTCACCTGTAAAGGGATTATCAAATGAAATAGGCAGTTCTGAGCCTGGCCGAGAGCAGGCATAACAAATGTGGATTTCCCTCCCCAAGGCCTATCCATGTCATCTCATCCTGGAAGTTGCAGTCTAGTTGGAGACCCATGATAACAGGCAAGGAGGGTCTTCAGAACAAAGGGTCCTGTGTTTATAGGAAAGGAGACAAAAGAGGCAGTTAAACAATTTTATAAAACAAAAATCCTTCAGCATGTAATTCTGTGTATTTTCCATCTTCCTTGTATCCTGCCCCTGACATGTTCATTCTCACCTGATTACACTGCTATAAAAAATATTGGGGAGTAGACACCATGACCCCCTAAGCTTGACCCTACATATAAAACCGTAAGTAACCGGTTGGTTTGGGGCTGCCAGAAAAGCCTGACCCTGAAGAGTCGAGAGAAAAGTGGGCCAGAGGCTGAAGCGAAGGATGCCAAAGTGAGGGACAGCCTGGGAAGAGTGGGGGGAGACAGACCAGAGAAGTGAGGAAGACAAGAGCTGGGAAGCAGTTGAGGACATGGGCCCATACTATGTGCTGGCCCTAGGCACTGTCAGCAGGGTGCCAGGGTTTGAGCTTACTCAGGCCTGGCCCAGGCCCAGGGTGTGAGAAACAAGGCCCAGAGGTTTGGCTCTGAGAATGGCGACCCCAGGAAGGATCCAGGAGTGTGAGGGACAAGCACCATCCTGCCGGCAGGAAGTCTCCCTCCCTACCCCGTGCTGCTTTCATGACCCTAGCCTACCCGCCTCCGCCCTGACCTCTACCCAGGACAGACAGCTGGGGGTGGGGGGACACTGTCCTGAAGGCATTGAATTGACTGTTACCCCTGGACCTCCTACCCAGAAACGGGTCCCTGACAGGATTGGACAGGTGAAGTGGTTAGAGGGGCCACTGCCACCACCATGGAGGGAGAGGGTTAAACTTGCTCAGCTGAGGAGGCTAGGAAAGTGGACCATTTTGCCTTCAGACCCTGCCCAAATGGACGTAGGCACCTGGGTATCCTAAAAGGAGAGGGCTGTTCTCCGCCTGCTTGGGACTGAGCATGCAAGTGGTCACGCTGGAAGGGAGGACAGTCTGGGGGGCCTGGCCCTTCTGTGGCTGTGCTGCTTTGGCCTGTGTCAGCCGGTGAGCACAGACCTGGCCACGTCCCTAGGTGTGTAAGCAGTTACCAGGTGCAATACAAGCACCCCTCCTGTGTTTACCTTTACAGCATTCCGCCACTTCCCTTTCTTAGCACCCATGGAAGTTGTGATTCGATATTTATTTGTGAGCTTTTTCTGAGCCAAGCCTGTCTGTCTCTCCCACTGGGCTGGAAGGAAGAGACGGCACAGACAGCGTCTGGTTTCTGCTATGTCCTCTGCACCTAAAACCAGCCTGGTTTGTGAATGTTCGGATGAATGAGCTGTTCTTTATGTGTGTGATATGGGGGGATCCCTGAGGAGGGTTGTGTCTCTGGAGGACGTTTGCTCCTCTAGCGTCCCAGAATCCTTCAGTCTAAAGTGGAGGGAGATGTGGCTGTGCCTGGATGGGGGTGGGGTGGATAGGCTGCTGAGTCACTGTGTGGGAAGAGGGACCAGGAGGAACGTGGGGCTGCCCCCAGTTGAGCTGACCCTGGATGAGATACCCCAGCCCTAAGGCCTTGCCGCCCCCTCTCAGGCCTGTTCCAGTAGGCCCTGGAGAAGATGACTGTGCTCCCAGGGAGGGGTGAGGGGCCAGGCTCGCTAAGGCACCCAAGAGAGGGCAGGCAGCCAGGCAGGAAGTGGGACAGAACAGGCTGGAGTGTTTGTCCTATGTCCCATGTCCCAGGCAGCGGGGGGGCCACCAAAGGGCCCACAGGCTGAACTGCCAGGAAGGAACCAGGTCAGGCTCTGAGGCATGAGCAGGGGTGCTAAACAGAGGCAAGGGCAGGAGCTAGACTTTCCATCCCCCAGGGAACCCAGGGCAGCTGGAAGCCCCTGGGCTGGGTCCAGAGCAGGGCAGGGCTGACCAAAGAGCAGGACAAATGTTGGGGTTGACTTGCCCAGTAAGATGTAGACTGGAAGACCCCTGGCCTCTCCAGAGGTGGCCTCTCTCTTGGCCCAGGTATTACCTCAAGGGCCAAAGCCACTCAAGTTGAGGGGACTTTGCTGAGCTCACATGCCCGCACTGTGCTATGGGGGAGGTGTCCCGAAGAGTCAGAGTGCTGCCATCAGACTCATTGGAGTCACCTCACTCAGGCCCTCTCTAGAGGTACTTCTTAAGGGGCCAAGTGCCATGCTTGGTACGGGAGTGTGGGGAGGACAGACTGGCTCAGGCAGGAGGGAAACATGGGGAGTGGACACATGGATGGAACACATACCTTCCTGTTACAAATGCAGGTTTTGGGGCCCTACTGTAGATGACTGGGACCCTAAAATCTGAGTTTTTGTTTTTTTGAGACAGAATGTCTCTCTGTTGCCCTGGGTAGAGTGCAGTGGCATCATCCTAGCTCACTGCAACCTCAAACTCCTGGGCTCAAGCGATCCTCCTGCCTCAGCCTCCTGAGTAGCTGAGACTACAGGCATGCACCACCACGCCCAGCTAATTTTTCTATTTTTAGTATAGCCAGAGTCTCTGGGTCTCGCTCTTGCTCAGGCTGGTCTCAAACTCCTGAGCTCAAGTGATCCTCCCACCTTGGCCTACCAGAGTGCTAGGATTACAGGTGTGAGCCACCATGCCTGGCCTAAAATATGGCTTTTAATAGGCCCCTTGGGGACCTCTGAGCTCCAACTAGGACCATTATAATTATAGCTCCCTTGGGGTAAGGGCAAAGACCTCCAGAGGCCTGGAGGGACTGGGGAGTCTTCAGAACAGTACCCATTCTTCACTGTCTTAGGAGTATTTCCTTTCTGGGTTTTAACGCTCTGTGGCTGCAGCTTATTAGCCCACGGGGGTATGAGCTTCCTCGAAGGCAGGAACTTCCTCCCACCTTCTCTCCATTCCCCTTGCTCATTTGTGTTCCTTAGCTCAACAATTGTTTAGTGAGCACTTACTGGGTGCCAGGTGCTGTGCTATAGCAGGGAACAAGGCAGATAGGGCACCTGGAGCCAGAGAACACAGTGGGGAAGGAGACTGGTTAGTGTCTAGGATATTCTAATGTGTGGAAGGTCTCAGAGCTGTTCCCTTTGCCCCCAGCTGGAGGACTGTGCCCTGCAAGTGTCTCCCTCTGGATACTACCTGGACCCTGAGCTGTCCCTGGAAGAGCAGCGGGAGATGCTGGAAGGCTTCTATGAAGAGATAAGGTCAGAGCTGATGGGGCCAAGGAGGCAAGGCTGGCTCCAACACTTGCCCCCCCACAGGGGCTGGCTTAGGTGTCAGCAGCTGAGACACTTGATATCTAGCCTGGGCCATGGGTCACCTTCTGGCCCAGCGAACTGTTCCAGGGGAATCTCAAAGCCTGGCCAGTGTTACCTGCTGTCCAGGATGGGAGCGAAGGGCTTTTCCACATACCTGAGATACCTGTGTTTGCACCAACCCTCCTGTCTGGCCAACCCTTGGACCCTTAGAGGAACAGCTGGGGAGGAAGGAGCTAGGCCAAGGTTGGCATGTGGAGGTCTTTGGCCTTGGCTTTGGAGGAGGGATGCTGAGGAATGAGCTGCTGATTAGGCTCCTTGATTCTAGCAAAGGGCGGAAGCCCACGCTGATCCTGCGGACCCAGCTCTCTGTGAGGGTCAACGCCATCTTGGGTGAGTGTGTGAGGGCATCAGTGTCCAGCAGCCCCCTTCTCCCTACCCGCTAGCCCAGTTGGCACAGTTTCTTTCAGGCCTGTGCCAGACAGTGGGCAGAGCAGATCAGAGACTGGATGTACCCCTTCCCCTCCCTGTCCCGACCTCTCCTTCCAGGGCCAGGGCTGATGCCACAGCTAGACCACAATAGGGGGTGCCCAAAGTCAGGGATTGAGAATGCTAGAATATTCTTTGGTGGAGGACTGTTGCTCTGTCCTATGGAGGAAGACAGTGTGTCTGTGTCTCCTTGAGAGTTTCGTACCTATCTACCACTTGCAGAAAAGTTGTATGGCTCCAGTGGCCCTGAGCTCCGCCGCTCCCTTTTCTCATTGAAGCAGATCTTCCAGGTGAGACCCAGAGGTGGGCTGGGGGTGGGTATCCAGCCCACACCTCCCTAAACTCCCCCATGGTATCCCCAGGAGGACAAGGACCTGGTGCCTGAATTTGTACACTCAGAGGGGCTGAGTTGCCTGATCCGTGTGGGTGCTGCTGCTGACCACAACTACCAGAGCTACATCCTTCGAGGTCAGCCCCAGCCTTCCCCCATGACCTCTGCCCCAGTGATCCTCACTGACTTTTTCTCATCCCTGTCTTCCCAGCACTGGGCCAGCTGATGCTTTTTGTGGATGGGATGCTGGGGGTGGTGGCCCACAGTGAGACAGTGCAGTGGCTGTACACACTGTGTGCCAGCCTGGTAAGTGGCCTTCCACCCAGCCATGCATGCTTTTCCCATTGCTTTTCTCTGGGCCTCAGTCTCCTCTTCTGCAAAGTGGGCTGGAATGGAGTGAGTCTGAGGCCCCTCTAAGTCTGGAAGGCACTTGAGTACCTCAGCCTGGAGCCAGGGTCTTTCTGCCTAGACCCTATTCTCTGGGTCCAGCCCCAAGAGCCCTTCTCCTCCCCAGCAGGAGCTGGCACAGGTCTGGCTCAAGCCCCTCTCATATGTGGTAACCTCTCCCTCCAGTCCCGCTTGGTTGTGAAGACGGCCCTGAAGCTGCTGCTGGTGTTTGTGGAATACTCTGAGAGCAATGCACCGCTGTTCATCCGTGCAGTCAACTCTGTGGCCAGCACCAGTGGTCAGAGACTGTCCCTCCCTCCCTCCCCAACCCATCTAATCTCTCTCTCCTACCTGTCCCCCCATGACTGCTCCACTTTCTGTGTGACAGGTGCTCTTCCCTGGGCCAATCTGGTGTCCATCCTGGAGGAGAAGAATGGTGCCGACCCAGAGTTGTTGGTGTATGCTGTCACCCTCATAAACAAGGTGTGGGAGAGGACCAGGTGCCAACTCTGGGCCCCTTGGACTCCTGACCTCTGGTCTCCATCAGCCTCAGACTTGCTTCCCTATCCCCACCCTCCAGACACTGGCGGCACTCCCGGACCAGGACTCCTTCTATGACGTGACCGATGCGCTGGAGCAGCAGGGCATGGAAGCACTGGTCCAGCGCCACTTGGGCACCGCAGGCACTGATGTAGACCTGCGCACGCAGCTTGTGCTCTATGAGGTGAGCCTGTCACCAGGCTCTGAGTGGGATTGGGGTGAGGGGAGAGAGAGGTGCAGTTCCCCACCACCCCACCCCACCTATGTGGGCCTCGACTACTTGTTCACGTCTCGGCCCACCTCTTTTAGAATGCCCTGAAGTTGGAGGATGGAGACATCGAGGAGACTGCAGCCATGGGTGGGCGGCGGGAGCGACGAAAGCCTTCTTCAGAGGAGGGCAAAAGGAGCCGCAGATCTCTGGAAGGCGGGGGCTGTCCAGTGCGCACCCTGGAACCTGGGTAAGAGCCTCGGTGGATGGGGTGGGGTGGATCTGCCAGGCCTGACCCTGTGTGCAGATAGGCCCTGCCGGCCCCGCCCCGCCGACGGGTCCCACCTCCTCCATTGGCCCTGCCCTGTTGACAGATCCCGCCTCCAGCCCCACCCCACTGATGGGCCCCACCTCCTCCATTGGTCCTGCCCCCACACCCCCACTGACAGGCCCCGCCTCCAGCCCCACAGGCCCCACCTCCTCCACCGGCCCTGCCCTGCTGACAGGCCCCACCTCCAGCCCTGTGTGCTCTCCCTCTGGCCTCAGCACTTCGGTGAACCTCTTTCCTACCATCTCTGTGGCATCCTCAGCTGACAACTCCTGTGAGAGGAGCATCTACAAGTAAGTAGGGAGATAGAGGCCACTTGGGAGTCCTTTCTCCAACTGTCCCTCCACTTTGCGCCCCTCCACGGGCCCTTAGCCTCCTCTGCCCAAACGCGTGCTTTCTCTCTCTCTCTTTCCAGACTTCACCAAACTGCTCCCGTTTGGTAAGTGACCGCTGGGACATGGGGTCGGCTCTTACTGGACCTCCTCCTCCTGCGGCTTCTCTTTTATCTCCTTCAGACACTCCGCTCGTCTTTGCCTCTTGTCATCTGTCTACCCCCTTTCTGTCTTTCTGTTTCTGTCACTCTCTTGTTCTGCTCTTTGTCTTTTTTTTTCAGCTGATGAAATGACCACAGAAGTCTTTGTCTCCTACTGCACCCTGTCCTACTTCCTGTCAGTCTCTCCCCTCCATTTCCCTTGTGTCATGTCTCCCCCACCCCCTCCTCTTCCCACCGTGGCTGGGAAGGAACCCCTAATGTCACTGCCCAGCTCTGTGTGGGTGTGAGCAAGTGGGCCTGGGGTGGAGCTGGCACCACAGTTACCATCTCTTCCTCTCATCCCCCTACCCAGGGCCCCTGAGAGCCCACCTGTCCCCCAGTCCCCTACTGGGCAGGCCAGGCTGGAGTAAGTACAGAGGCCAGCCTGCAGGCCTGCCATGTGCTTAGGGCTTCAGCATTGCTTCCCCGGCAGGGGTTCGACATGCCCAGTGCAGCCAGAGCTAGGGGATTCTCAGGCCCATCCTCTCAAAAGAAGCCTCATAAGAAGACTTATGTCTTCTTGGTAACCCCAGGACTAAGCCCTGGGAAGTGCTTCACCAGGGTCATAGTGGTCCCTTGTTCGATAGTGACATATTAACAGACCAGAGATGGGGATGTAGATGCCCAACCTGGGGCCCATTCTTCCATGTCCTCAGCTCAGGAATGGGGCAGGGAGGATCTAGGGTGCCGTGTGGTGTGGGGTGGAGGACGACCTAAGGCTGAGGGAAGGGCAGGGACTGACAGCCGACAGAGGCTGGAGGGGCCAGAAAAGAAACACTGGATCACATTCATTATTTCAACATAAACTGAGGGCCAGGCCCTTTTCTAGGCATAGGCTGTAGCTCTCAGAAGCTGCCAGACATGCTAAGGGAGGGAGAGCTGATGTGCTCATTGGGATAGCTGTCCCTTTCCCCTGGTCTAAAGGTCCTTATCTAGAATCAGGACAGTGGACATGAACAGCAACAAGGTTGCAAGTTGGATGTTAAGTAGAGCTTCTCCCTGTATTTTCATCTGAGAATGCTGGGTTGGTAGTAACCCTCTCCAGATGTGGAGGACTGAACAGGGGCTGGCCTTGGGGGGCAGGTTCTGGGTCTGCTCAGCGCATGGACTGTTTGTTCCCTGTGTGTCTGTGTGAGCCTGCAGTTTGGGGCAGTGTCCAGGGGCTCAGCAAGGCATGTACACCTGGGCTGGGTTATGTTAGACACCATCACTGACAAGTACCTGCCCTCAGAGCCCGGTTCCTGGAGAATGTGGCAGCAGCAGAAACAGAGAAGCAGGCTGCACTGGCCCAGGGCCGGGCAGAGACACTGGCTGAGGCCATGCCTGATGAGGCTGATGGACACCCAGGTGAGTAGGTGGGTGGGCAGAATCCACCCCTGCTGCTCTGTTGCCCCACCAAGGGCATGACACTGATAGCTTCTTCCCTTTTTCTAGACATCCGGGAAATGTGGGACTCCCCAGAGACAGCCCCTGCACCCAGAATACCTCAGAGCCCTGTCCCCCGAGTCCTGCTCCGGGCCCAGCGAAGCCTTGAGCCAGAGCCCAAGGAGCCACTGACACCACTAAGCCCCAAGGCTGAGCCCATTCGGGAGATCCCTTCCCGTGTACCCAGGCTCTGCATTGGGGACCTGGACTTCTCAGATCTGGGGGAAGATGAAGACCAGGATGTGCTGAACATGGAGTCTGTGGAAGCCGTGGAAGGGGTCCCACCCCCACCACACACACTGCCCCTGCTCTCTGGAGGCCCCCCACCTCCACCTCCCCCACCTCCCCCACCCATCAAGGGCCCCTTCCCACCACCTCCACCCCTGGCTGCCCCTCTTCCCCCCTCAGCAACTGATGGCCCAGCCCTCCCCACCAAGAGAAAAACAGTAAAACTCTTCTGGCGTGAACTAAAGCTGGCTGGGGGCTGTGGAGGCTCTGGAAGCCGCTTTGGGCCATGCCCCACCCTGTGGGCCTCACTGGAGCCTGTCTCAGTGGACACAGCCCGGCTGGAACACCTGTTTGAGTCCCGTGCCAAGGATGTGCTGCCCTCCAAGGTAAATGCACTGATCTTCCAGGTAGCCCCAGTGGAGGTGGAGGGAATCATAGCTCAAGGGTCTGAGCTGTTGGAGCTTGTCATTCATTTCCCACCTGGGGAAACTGAGGCAAAGAAAGGCGTAGGGACTTGTCTGAGGTCTCCTAACAAGGAATCAGCAGGGCCTTAACTAGAATCTAATTTCATCCCAATGCCTTTCACATCCCAGATTCGTGGGACCATTGGCCATTTAGAGGACCTTGGGTGCCCTCGTAGATTGTTGCCCAGTTAGTCACGCTGCTCTTCCCCCAACCTTGCAGAAAGCTGGCGAGGGCCGCCGGACAATGACCACAGTGCTGGACCCCAAACGCAGCAATGCCATAAACATTGGCTTGACAACATTACCCCCTGTGCATGTCATTAAGGCTGCCCTGCTCAACTTTGATGAGTTTGCTGTCAGCAAGGATGGCATTGAGGTAGGGATACCCATCTATGCATGTAGGAGGGAAGGGGGAGGTCTGGCCCTTTACTTTGGTCAGTAGTGTTTCCTGTGTTTGGCATGGGCTTGGCATTTCTGCAGGGCAATCCCTAGACCCTGGGCTCCTCTAGTTGATGTGGGGCGGGGGGGTGGTCAAGACCAATGCCTGAGGCCTCAGGCCTGCACTGAGGGTCCCACGTTGGGTGGTGGCTGCATCCTCAGAAGCTACTGACCATGATGCCCACGGAGGAGGAGCGGCAGAAGATCGAGGAAGCCCAGCTGGCCAACCCTGACATACCCCTGGGCCCAGCCGAGAACTTCCTGATGACTCTTGCCTCCATTGGGGGCCTGGCCGCCCGCCTACAACTCTGGGCCTTCAAGCTGGACTATGACAGCATGGAGAGGGTACCTGGGTCATGGAGTGGGACAGGCAGTGGGGACTGGTGAGCATGATGACCATGTAGTCTGAGAGTCCCTTGTCCCCCACACCAGGAAATTGCTGAGCCACTGTTTGACCTGAAAGTGGGCATGGAACAGCTGGTACAGAATGCCACCTTCCGCTGTATCCTGGCTACCCTGCTAGCTGTGGGCAACTTCCTCAATGGCTCCCAGGTGAGTGAGAGCTCATTAGGACTGGGAGTCAGGGCTCTGGAGCCAGCTCCAGGTGAGGCTCAGACGAGGTCCTTTCAGAGCAGTGGCTTTGAGCTGAGCTACCTGGAGAAGGTGTCAGAGGTGAAGGACACGGTGCGTCGGCAGTCGCTGTTGCACCATCTCTGCTCGCTGGTGCTCCAGACCCAGCCTGATTCTTCCGACCTCTACTCAGAAATCCCTGCCCTGACCCGCTGTGCCAAGGTAAGCAGCCACCAGAGATTCAACTGAGACTGGTCAGGGTACAAGGGAGCGCTGCTTCCTGGGCCTTGCTGCTCCCACTTCTCCTGATTTGGGTGGCTCCACCAGCTCAGGCTACAGGTGTGTGAGCAATGTCCTCTGCCAGAAACACTCTTTCCTCTATTGGCCTGGCCACACCTACCCAGTCTTTGGGTTTCAGTTTAGCTGCCACTTCCTCCAAGAAACCTTCTCTGTCCCCCATGGGATCAAATGGACTTGTCTGTCTCTTGCATTAAACTGTGAGCTTTTGGAGAGCAGGAGCTAGGTCTCAGCTGTATGTCCCTAGGACCCAGGCTGGCCAGCCGGGCACAGAGGCAGCCTCAGTCAGTATCTTATCTATGGTGGGGACAACATGTGCACACCCTTGCTTTTCCAGGTGGACTTCGAGCAGCTGACTGAGAACCTGGGGCAGCTGGAGCGCCGGAGCCGGGCAGCTGAGGAGAGTCTTCGGGGCCTGGCCAAGCATGAGCTGGCCCCAGCCCTGCGTGCCCGCCTCACCCACTTCCTGGCCCAGTGTGCCCGCCGTGTTGCCATGCTGAGGGTAGTGCACCGCCGTGTCTGCAACAGGTAGGGGCATGGGCCGGAGAGGCAGGACTACCACCACCCTCCCTCAAACACCAAGCAGAACTCACCATCCCTTCCCACTCCGGCCTGCCTAGGTTCCATGCCTTCCTGCTCTACCTGGGCTACACCCCACAGGCAGCCCGTGAGGTGCGCATCATGCAGTTCTGCCACACGCTGCGGGAGTTTGCACTTGAGTATCGGACTTGCCGGGAACGGGTGCTGCAGCAGCAGCAGAAGCGGGCGACGTACCGTGAACGCAACAAGACCCGGGGACGCATGATCACCGAGGTAAATGCCCTTCCAAGTCTTGGTCTTGACTGCCACCCCTGTGGTTTCCTATGCTACTCCCAGCTCACCCTTCTTCTCTCTCCAGACAGAGAAGTTCTCGGGTGTGGCTGGGGAGGCCCCCAGCAACCCCTCCATCCCAGTGGCTGTGGGCAGTGGGCCAGGCCGGGGTGATGCTGACAGTCATGCCAGTATGAAGAGTCTGCTAACCAGCAAGCCTGAGGACACCACACACAGCCGCCGCAGCAGAGGTAAGACCCGCAGCCGCTGTGGGCAATGGGTTCTAGGGCCACCTTGGCCTGACCTCCCCACGTGGCCCCCTTCAGGCATGGCCCAGAGCAGCTCCCCAGTGATGCCCACAGCAGTGGGGCCCTCCACTGCATCCTCAGAAGAACCTCAAGGCTCCAGTTTACCCAGTGACACATCAGATGAGATCATGGACCTGCTGGTGCAGTCAGTGACCAAGAGCAGTCCTCGTGCCTTAGCTGCTCGGGAACGCAAGCGTTCACGTGGCAACCGCAAGTCTTGTGAGTAACCTCCACAAGCCTATTGCCCACCTTAACTCCATCAACCCCCTCTAACCCTGCTCTGTCCCTGCAGTGAGACGGACATTGAAGAGCGGGCTCGGAGATGACCTGGTGCAGGCACTGGGACTCAGCAAGGGTCCTGGCCTGGAAGTGTGAAGGTGGTGATCCCCGGAAACCTATTGGGACCCCAACCTGCAGTGCAAAAGATTATGCAGCAAGGAGGGCCCAAAGCAGAATTCTGGCCCCAAAACTCTGTGTCCAGGGGCTAGACCTTGAGCAGTATTACGTGTGTGTGTGTGTGTGTGTGTGTGTGTGTGTGTGTGCATGCGCATATGTGTGAGCTCCCTGAACTCATGGAGCAAAATAAAGTTTTCCTAGCTAATCCAACAGGCTTTTTCTTCTTTCAAGGTCCCCAGCAGGCTGGGTTTATAGCAAGAGGGAAACCCCATAGGACTAGCTCTTCCTGCCCTGTCCCTCATCACCCACACAGCCATTAGCTACATTCTAAGCCATTTATTCAAAAACTGTATAGGATATATCCTGAAGTATAACCTATATACCTCAGACTGCTTTTGGCCCCTGGACTAGGCCCTCATTGCTCCAGGCATGGGGGCTGTGCAGCCTGATAGAGCTACCCAGGGCCAGCAGCCTGTGACCACAATGTCAATGGCTATAACCGCTTCATCTGTCGCCGCTCCTGTCGGCGCTGACGTTTCTCATTGTGCTCTGGTGCTGGGGTGCTACTGTCTGCTGTGAACCACGGGCCCAGCACATTCACCCACAGGAGGTAAAGGGCCCGGCCTGGAGCCTAGGAGAGAAAAGGTAAGTTGAAGCCAGATGGAGTGAAAGACAAGGGAGAGTTACATGCTCCTGCTTGGCAGCCCCCCAGCCCACATACCAGAAGCCAGAAGGACCAGATGTAGAGGGAGAAGCAGCTGAGCACCTGCACGATGGCTGTCAGCAGGATCACATCCTTCAGGTGCCTAAGGATAAAAGGAAGGTTGCCAAAGACAGCAGATGGGCCCCAGTTCAACTCCCTTCTACCCTTTTCAAGTTGCAGGTCACTGTGGGTCTTGGGCTATCTGGGCCCCAGCCCTGGGGCCGCTCACCTGGGCTGGCGGTGGGGGACACTCACTCTGCCATGCCCTGCTCCATGTTGAGGTCCATGCCACCATCCATCAAGGCCCCATCCTCAGAGAAGGCTGCCCGTGCCATCGAGCTCATGGAGTGGTAGCTGGCCCCATATACTGCCAGACTAAAGCCCAGGGCTATCTGCAAAGCAAGAATGGGTGGTATTCAAGGGCCATCCACTGACCCTATGCACTCATTCACTTCCCAGAATGGAGACACTTACCCAGGCCCAAAATGAGGCAGATGAGTAAAAGAAGACCAAGGTCACAAGGCAGTAAATGGCCTGCAAGCAAACACAGGATCAAGCTGGAGTCAAAAGCTACCCCTAAACCATGGGCCTCTTTCAACTGTCAGAATTGGGCCACGCTGTAGAAGGAGCCATGTTATTCTTATAGGGTTGGGAGAAGGACCCTTCTCCCTGAATCTCAAATACCCAGACTCTCCTCTGACACCCAAGTCAGCCCAGGAAAGAAGCTCTTGTGTATTTGGGGTGGGAAGGGCTCTCAAATCCAGCTGGGACTCATGCCCTCATTTCTTTTTTCTGTTTTGCTTGTACTAGTCAGTGCTTTCTCTATGCCTGGATCTTTTCTCATTTCTTTTCAATGGGGGTTCTCTTATGGAGCCTTAGCTGTCACATACCACTACTCACCAAAGAGGGTGAGCACTGTGGGATTATGAGTGGGCACAGAAGCGAGGAGGCAGGCACTTACATTGGCCCCCAGTATGATCCGCAGGTAGAACTTCAGTGTCTCTCTGTTCTCTTCAAATATCTGCTTCTTCCCTCTTGTGCCCACTTTGCCCTTGGGCTGCAGAGGGATGATGAGATGCTGTCAGAGCCTTTCTCTGCCACAGTGCTCCTCCCAACTAGGCTGGTTAGCTACAGAGTTCTATCTGCACCTTACCTAGCTAGGTCTCCGTGGTGTTCAAACCTAGCACAATCCCTCAGATATCCACCCATCCTCCAGTCCATCTTGTCTAGAGCTGATACAACCTTTCCAGCACCCTCAGCTATTATCGCCTCCTCCTAACCCTGAAACAATCCAATCCTAGGCTAATATCTCCTCTGGCTCCCCTGGTAAAGAGCAGCTTTGGGCTGACAACCCCTTTAGGGGTACACCTGAGTGGAGCTGGATGGTGCCCCTCTCTGGCTTCTGCTGGAATAGTCTAGATCTGGGCCAACGTTCAGGCCCCTCAAATCTCTGGCCTGCTCTAGTACTACTGTCTGGTACTGACGCCCACACCCCTCTGGCACTAGTTCTGGTATGATCCAGTACCGCCATCCCTTCCTGCAACCTCGCGGCTCGCTCTACTCCAGTCCAGCATTTGGATGCCGCCCCCCTCTGGCCCACGCCGCATCTCTTGATGTCCTTCCTCTGTTTTCATTCTCCAGGCCCCCGGAGCACTCGGCCGATGCGGACCCCGCCCTACCCATCCTCCTTACCGCCATGGCGCGACGCAAATACTCAGCGGGGGAAACAAGAGAGAGCGACCGAAACCGCAGTCAGTAGATACCACATAGGCAAAGCATGTACTTCCGGTGCACACCAAAGTCGTCAGGACCTGGGACGGAAGTGGGGCCTATTTCCTTCCCAAGCCCCGCCCCCAGAGCGGGCGGGACTACGCTTCCCAGAAAGCCTTGCGCGGGGGCGGAGGCGGCAGGGATGCGATGGCGGAGTCGCTGCCCCTGGAGGTGAGAGGAAGCCGTCCTCAGGCATAGCTCCGGACAGGCCCCGCCCTCGGGGTCCCGGGCTTTGGGGAGGGGCTGTCAGACAGCTAGCCCGGCCCCTCCTGCCTGGCGGAAACAACCCGCCCGGCCGATCTTGGGACCTGTAAGCTCTGGGTAACGGCCCCGCCTTTGGGCCACTCCGTCCCCTTAGCTTGGGGGACTCTCCTCTCTTTCCCCCTCGGCCCCAGAAGATGGCTATTCTGTCACCTCAGCGAGGACAGCAAGGACAGGCCCTCTGCCCCATTCCCTTCCCTTGAGATGGCCGTCCCCTCCCCCTTAGTTCTGGAAGATGTCCGCTCCATCTCATCGTCCCCGAAGGGTAACCGATCTTATCCCCATTGGTCCCTTGCGATAGTCCTTCCATTTCCTCCCCCCGAGAGAGACAGCTGCCCTCTTTCCCTGGCAGTGGGAAACAGACTGCTCCCTCTCCATCAACTCCGCGGATGGTCTCTGAGGTCCTTTAGCAAGGACAGTCCTGTTTCCCACTCCCTAGGCCCCTAGCGATGGCCGCCCCTACCTCTTTTACCTCATGGGATGTTTGCTCCTTCTCCTTAGCCAGGGAAAAGACTCCCATTGGCCTGGAAGATAACAGGTATTGTCCCTAGTGGCCTCTTAGAATGGCCTCTCCTTTTGCCCTGAGAGTTGGCAGCCCCCTCCCACTGCCCATGGGAGACAGGCCGCCCTTTCCAATCAGTCTTGTAGTGATGCTCCCTCTCCTTAGCAAAAATATACCTGCTCCCACCCCATTGAGCCCCCTGCAATAGCATCCCTTTCCCCTTTGACCCCAGAGGCTATCCACTCCATCCCTGTGGATCCCATGGATGACCAGTCATATCTCCAGTAGCCCCTTAAGATGGGGTTCATGGGATGGCCACTCCATCCTTATCGCTGCTTCCTCTGGTCCTTCTAGAAAGGCCACCCCCTTCTCAGCTTAATGAATTGTGCCCTTCCCCTGCCCCAGTGATGACAGGTTTGTTCCCCTCTCCCTTTGCTTCTTGGGTTGGCTGCTCAGCCCCAGAAGACAGGATGGCCACTACCTTAGCTCAGACAGGCTTTCCTGTCTCTCCCCAGGGAGGGGGGCTTGGTCACATCTGGTCCCCATCAGTCCTCTCTTCCCCATGCCTAGTCTCCCTGGCCCAGAAGGCTTTTTTCCCATAATTCTCCTTTCCATAATGATCTGCTTAATCTCGCTACCCGTTCCCTGAGCAAATCTTTGGTGAAAATAGAGGTAGAGGACTGGACTGTCCATCCTTAATTTAATCCAGTAAGTATCCTCCGTGCTCAGCATCTGAGAAGGGGAGAGATCAGAATAGCTGGTGAAGTCAAGCATAAGGAAGGGCATCCCAAGGAAGAGGCCCACATAGGCAAAAGGAAGTAGACATGTTGTGTTTGTAGGACAGCGAGGAGACTGGGTTGGGGAAGCTCTGGGACCATTGGATCCAGTCAGGCATGGAGGCCTGGTAGTACTGATTCCACGAGTAAAGAGCTCGTCCTAAGAGTACTGAAGGTTTACAGCAGGGGAGTGCTAAAACTGAAAACTGCTTTTGTGACAGTGTGCAGAATGGATTAGCAAGGATGAACTTGGAGGCAAGGAGGACAAATGGAAGGAATCCAGGTCTGGGGTGATAGAAATCTGAGCTACTAATGTGGTGAAGTTGCAAAGGTAGAAATATTAGTACTAGCAACCCAGAAAGCACTTATGGAACATCAACTAGCTGTGAAGCACACTGTATATATATGTATACGTGTGTGTGTGTGGGTGTGTGTGTGTGTATGTACACACATATATGTAAAATTCAATCCCCATAAGACTATGATCTAGATTTTTAAAAATGTCCCCATTTTACAGTTATGGAGGCTGAAGCTCAGAGAGATCAAGTACCTTGCCTGAGGTCACACAGCCAGGAAGCAGTGAAGCTGGGGTTTGAATAAGTGTAGGTTAGCCTGGCCTAAAGTCTGTGCTTTACGTGTGTATCTGGGACCAAGGGATAGAAGAGCATGAATATAGTCCAAAGTGTTATCAGGTGGGGTGCACTGTTGGCATTGGGAGGGAAAGTTGGGAGGAGGGGCTGTTTTGGATTGATGGCAGAATATGAGTTTTAGTTGAGATTAAGGTTGTGGTTAAACATTTGGATGAAGGATCCGGTGGACAATTGGTAATACTGGACTAGAAATTGGATAACAGGACAATATAGGGATATTGAATTGTTGGTTATTCCTGTATTGGTAAACAGAAAATCAAAAGACCCCAGGTTTGAGCCCTGAGACCCACAGAAGAATCCAGAAACCAGGCAATTGGGGTGGTGGGTGAAGCCTTAGAAAACAGTGTCACAGGACTCAGAAGGGAAGATTCCAGAAGAAAAGAATAGTTAATATAAAATCTTGCTAGGCCTCACAGGCAACTCCTTTCCCAAGCCCCTTTAGGGCCTCCAACCTTACCACCCCAGACTCACAGGGCATAGGTGGAGGGCGGACCTGAGCCTGCCAGGCTGGGTCTTGCTGGAATCATATCTTAACAGCCAGCTGAGAAGGTGAGTTGGCAGTGAAGATGGGAAAAGACCAGGGTCCTAGAGCTTGACCTGTGAGGGCAGGAGGAAGAGATGTGACTTCCTGAGGATCAGAGGAGGAGCACCTGGCTTGCCGTGTTCTAGATCCTGTGCAAGACGCTTTGTTGTGTTATTTAGTACTTGCAATGATCTATTTTAATCTGACTACAAATGCCATTTACAGATAAGGAAAACAAGGCTCCCAGAGGTCAGTTGACAGAGTAGGGATTTAAACTAGATTTATCTGGCCTCAGTGTTTAGGCTCTTTCTGCCAAACTTGGCAGGAAGTTTGATTCTTATCAGTTGGTACAAGCTTGTACCCAGACAGGGCTCAGGAAAGGTTTGTTCACAGTAAAGATACCTGAATGCTGGAGAGGGGAAGGGAATGCTTCGTGAAGCTTCAGATCCAAGATAAACTAGAAGCCAGTGCTCTGATGCCCTCAGGCCCACAGTGCTATCAGCTGTAGTCAGTTCCAAAAGTGCCCCACCTCTAATAGCCCTCAATGCCCTGTCTTTTTCCTGCAGATGCTCACATATATTCTGAGCTTCCTGCCTCTGTCAGATCAGAAAGAGGCCTCCCTTGTGAGTCGGGCTTGGTACTGTGCAGCCCAGAATGCCCTTCGAGAGGTAAGGTGCCCATCCTCACCTGGCCCATCCTCAGTTGTTTCTTACCAGCTTGCTCATGGCCCTGCTCGTATATCACCCATCCATCCATCCATTCATTCATACATACTCATACTTACTAAGCTCTGGGTACAATGCTGGGGCTATACAGATGAATACGACATAGCCCCCTAAAGAGCTCCCAGTCCAGTGAAGGAGAAAGACAAGTAATGTGAATGATCATGATGCTGTATGCTCAGTTTTGTGACACTGGAATGAAAGGGTGCAATGGGAACAGAGGAAGCACATCCAAAGGAGACCGGCAGCATCAGGGAAGGCTTCCTGAAGGAAAAGGATGAGGATGAAGGTTGGGCTTCCAGGACTGGTAACAGCACAAGTGAAGGTACCACGGTTGTGGAATAGTTCTGGAAATGACCGCACAAGTTCCATATGACTGGAACCGAGAAGTGTGCAGGAGAAATGTGGTGGACTGTGAGGTCAGATTGGGTCAGACTACAAACCAACAGTTGTGCCAGGCGGCAGAGCTTGGGCTTTTCTCCCGATGACCATGATGGAGCCTGTTAAGGCAAGTAGTTGACACACTGTGATTTGTGTCTTAGAACACCACAGTGCAGAGTGGGCTGGAGAGGGCAAGACTGAGCAAAGGGAGGCAGCCCAGCTGGGAGGTGAATGCAGACATCTGTGCTAGTTCGAAAGGCAAGCAATGACAGCTCGTTGTTTTAATTTTGGATTTCTTTGATTATTAGTGAGGTCGAACAGTTTTTCTCATTAGCTGACCCTTTGTTTTTCCCACTTTTGTTTATTCATGGTCTTTATCTATTTAACTATTAGGGTCTTAATATTTTTCTTATACATTTGTATGAACTTTTTATACATTAAAGAGATCAATCCTTTTTATATTTATTGAAATATATTCCTAGGATGTCTGCCTTTTAATTTGATTTGTAGATATGTGCTTTTATTTGTGAGATACAGAAGTTAAATCTCTGTGTTATTGATTCTGCACTTCCTTTTTTATTTCTTCTATAGTTTTTTAAATGTAAAGATCCCTTGCCCCTTCAGAGATTTGATAGACATACACTCATATTTTTCTTCTGCTTTTTAAAAATAGACTTTATTATTTAGAGCAGTTTTAGGTTCACAGCAGAATTTTTTCTTCTGTTTTATGGTTCGAATGTTTGTATTAATGTTTTTATTGGTGAAATTTATTTTGATTTATGTTATGAGATAAGAAGCTAAACTGATTAGTTTTCAAATAGCCCAAATGCCATTTACATCTAATCTTCTCCCTTTCCCTGTTGGGTTGGAATCTTCCTCTGTTACATATTAAATGTGTGTGTAGGCTGGGCGTGGGCTCATGCTTGTAATCTTAGCACTCTGGGAGGCTGAGGCCAGAGGATCGCTTGAGGTCAGGAGTTTGAGACCAGCCTGAGCAAGAGTGAGACCCCATCTCTACAAAAAATAGAAAAATTAGCTGGGTGTCATGGTGTCTGTAGTCCCAGCTACTTGGGAGGCTGAGGCAGGAGGATCACTTGAGCCTGGAAGTTTGAAGATGCAGTGAGCTATGATGATGCTACTGTACTCTATCTAAGTGACCAAGTGAGACTCTGTCTCAAAAAAAAAAAAAGAAAAGAAAAGAAAAGAAAGGAAATGTAGAGAGTGACCTCACTGGCAAGAAATTTCCCTGTGGAAGGAAGGAAATAAATAGGGCATGAATGAGAATGAGAGGTTCAGGGGTTCAGGTGGGCTTGACAAAAGGATTTTGATTAGGAGAAATCGTGTTTAAATGCTTGAGGGAGAGTCGCTAGGTGTAACTCCTCTCTAGGGACCAGTGCCTTGGTGCCAGGGCATACATCTTCACAATGGCCTGCTGGAGAACAGGCGTGTGAGCTGTGGATTCCTGCACCGGGCGGAAAGGAGGGCCATTTTCTCTGTCAGGTGGCTTTCCAAGTCTGTACACAGGCCTATAGTCTCAGGTCAGGGTTTCACTGGGTACAACAAAATCCTGGCTTCCCACAGTCAAGGTACATATGTCACTTTTAGCAGGTTCAGGGCATTTCCCAAATGATTTACTCTTATGGTGCCAGCATTGGGAAAGGAGGAGACCATGGGCTAGTTGGTCCCCCTGTGGATGGAGCAGCTGAAGCTGGAGCAGGTGCCCTTGCAGTCCTCCTTCGTGTGGGTCTAGAAGCATCTTCCTAGGGCCAAGGAAGGCAGGAGTATCCTACACCAGGGTCAAAGTCCAAAACCCAGGAGGCCTGCTTCTGCCTGCTGCTGTGCCCCCACAGACAGAAACAGCTCTAGAAGGCTGCTCTTGGGGTGCAGTTTAAGTCCAGGTGGCCCCAGGAGAGGGGTAAACCACCTGCAGGAGGGCTTAGAGGCTGCCCACACCCCACCAAGAAAAATGGTGTCAGGCTGGAGATGGTCTCAAGCCTCCTCCGTCCCCCTCATAGCTGGAAGTCCTTTAGGCCAGGCCCTGCCCCTCTATCGAGTGGCTTTTGCTGCCAGCAGCCAGTCCTGGACTTGGCCATGGGGAGACCGCCAGTGCCTTCCCTTGGTGTTTGTCTACCTGGTTCATAGGGAGGCAGTGGGGAAGGGGAGAACATTCCTGGCCACCCAGGCTCCACAAAGAAGGGAAGGAAAGAAGGAAGCCTGGCACCCGCACTGCTGTACCACTAGAGCTGGGGCCCATGGGGCTCTCAGGGACTCCTCAGTGACATGTGAGTGGTGGGAGTGGGCGCTGCCTCAGCAACCAGCTCCACCCCACCTCCTCCAGCCCCAGTTCACTCCTCAGCATCAGACTGAGTCATGTATCTTGCAGGGCTTGGCAATGGTGGAGGCAGGTTTTCCCATTCCCTTCTAAAACCTTCCCTCTCTCATCTGACATCACCCTCTCCACCCACACACAATGGGATCTGCCCCAGCTCTCCTTAAATCTGAGATCCCTGATCCACTGCCCACGCTGGGATCTGTGCTGTGTGCTCCTCTCACCCCAAATGACCGTGCTCTGGAAGTGGGGTCTGGAAAGGGAACCCAGTCAAACCCTGATTCCTGTGAAAGAGGCCAGGAGCTGGTCCTGGTCCCTTACACATGCTTCTTTCTGTCACAACAGCTATGGTGGCTGCATGTCTCTGTGGCAGAAGCCAGGCTAGTTTCTCCACACCTAGGAATGAGTTCCGTGCTTCCTGGGGGAATCCTGTTGATATATATCTTTTAGGAGTGTATCCCGTGTGTCATTTCTACCTTTCTAATTCCTTTATTTATTTATTAATTATTTTTTAGATACAGGGTCTCACTCTGTTGCCCAGCCTATAGTACAGTGGCCTGATCACAGCTCACTGCAGCCTTGAACACCTGGGCTCAAATGATCCTCCTGCCTCAGCCTCCCAAGTAGCTAGGGCTACAGGCGTGCACCACCCCACCTGGCTAATTTTTAAATTTTTTGCAGAGATGGGGTCTCACTATGTTTTTCAGGCTGGTCTTGAACTCCTGACCTCAATTGATCCTCCCACCTCAGCCTCTTGAAGTGCTGGGATTACAGGTGTGAGCCACCACACTCCGCCTCTGATTGCCTTCTGATAGTGTTCTGTGGGGTGCAAGCAGGAACAGCAGTTTGTTTTTGCAGTTATTGACAAGATAGGTGTTTGGGGAGCTTACTTTCCGTCGTCAGGACAACAGTGATACATTAAAACGAGGCTTCTTTGAGTACACTTGCCTGCAACCTGGGCAAGAGGTAGGGAGGTAGGGCTAGGATTTTAGAAGCCAAGGCTTCTTCTCCCTCTTCCCACAGACCTGTTCCACACAAACTGTACCGACTTCCCTTTGGCTCCCTCTGGCACAAGATCAGGGAAGGTTCTAGACATTATCTCTGTAGTTAGAGGCTCCCAAACTCCTGCACAAGCCAGCTAATTCCCACGGTGTAGCCCCGAGCTTGCCTCCCAATCTTACCCAACTCCAGCTGTGTGCTCCCCATTCCTGCTCCCCTGTTCTCTATGGCAGGGCACCTTGTTCTGTTAGCTTCCGCCCACAGAAAAGGGAGGCTGCTTCTTCCTTACCTGAATGGATAGATGTCCCCTCCAGAGATGTGCTGCAGGGATCACAGCACATCTCGAACTCTGGAGCATCCAGGGCCCAATACCAGGTGGCCCTACGTGTTTACACATAAGCACACACACATGCATTTTTGCTTACACACAAAACCCATTTTTGCAAACATTCACGTGACTGAGACACTCTGAGGCCACTGGGGGACCTAGGCCTCACTGCCTGCCCCAGACTTCTGGCACCAGGACCACAGAAGGTTGTGGTGAGTAATGTCTGCCTCATTTTTCCCCACTTTCAACTGTTCTGAGCGCTATTTATATGCTCTCTGGAAAGCGGGGGAGGCTGGCTGCTTAGCTAATGCCAAGTCCCTGGAGTAGGAGGCCGAGGCCATGGATTTCGGGGCCTCCTTCTGAAAGTCCCAAAGGTTGGGGTCTAACATACTTTGTCCTCTCACTCCCTGGGGGCTTCACTGGGCTTTCTGCAGGTCATATCTCAGTCCTCCTGTGCTCAGCCTGCCACCTCCCCATCCTGTCCCTGCTCCTCCCTAGGCATTCAGGCCTGTCCTTCACTAGCCTCCCTGCCCTCCCCTGAGTCACTTCCCTTTGAACCCCACTGTGATTTGTCTTCCCCTCTCCCACTTCCTACCTGAACCCCCTCAACCACACATGACATCACACACCATGGTGGGTCCCCATTGTGAAAGGGCCCTTTCCTGACCTGCCCTCACCCTCTGGCTGGTGACTTGGCACCAAACCAAAGCCCAGCACCTCTGAAGCCAGAGGGCTAACCCCAGGCTGCTGCTGCTCCTTAGACAAACGTGCGGTACAACATCCCCGTGTCTTCTGCCTCCCTTTCGGCCATCAAGAGCCTGGGCCTCAGGGGCATCTCCTGCATCAGCCTGACCAACCTGGATGGCTCACCCACTTCACACCAGGTGCTGCAGTCTGTTGCCTACCACCTGGGCCCACACCTGCAGAGCTTGTGCCTGGGTGGGGGCAGCCCCACAGAGGCTTCTTTTGTGGCCCTGATCCTGGGCTGCCCGGCCCTGCGTGTCCTTGACCTCAGCAGCTGCAACAGCCTCTTCACATCGGGCACGCTGCTGTCTCAGCCCTAGACGGCCCAGGGCATCCGGCAGGCACTGAGTGGCCTCCGTGAGCTCAACCTGGCTGGCCTGCGGGACCTCGCTGACCTCAGCTTCAACCAGCTCAGCAGCTGTGCCCCCAGCCTGGAGCGTCTCTCCTTGGCCTACTGCCACCTCACCTTCGAGCTGGGCCCGGCCCGGGGCTCCATCAGCCTCCGGGACTCTTCCCCATCCCAATTCTCCTTCCGAAACCTACTGCGATTCGTGAAGGAGAGGGCTGGCAGGCTGCACGCCCTGGACTTGAGTGGCACCGGCTTGCCACCCGAGGCCCTGCAGGCCCTGGGCCAGGTGGCCGGGCTGCAGCTACAGGAGCTGAGCCTGCACAGCTGCCGGGACCTCTCCACGGAGGCCGTGGTCACCCTGTGCCGCCAGCAACCAGGCCTTACCTCCCTGGACCTCAGCGGCTGTTCGGAACTGACTGATGGGGCTCTCTTGGCCGTGAGCCGGGGCCTGCGACACCTGCGGTGCCTGAGCCTGGGGAAGCTGCAGCGGCTGACAGACGCGGGATGCACAGCCCTGGGGGGCCTGTGGGAGTTGCAGAGCCTCAACATGGCTGGGTGCTGCCTGGTGAGCGGGCGGGAACTGGCCCAGGCCCTGGGCTCGGTGCGTGGAGCTCCGCTCCGCCTGGAGTCCCTCAGCCTGGCCTTCTGCTCTTCACTGAAGGTGAGCGCACATCATCCCCTTCCTTCCTCTCCAGGGCCGAGGCTGGGAGGGGCTGGGGGGACTGGGCCTGTGTCACCAGGGACGGCCACAGTGTTTGTGTCCAGAATTACTAGTTAGAACTGAACTCAGGCCACAGTCTGGAAGAGGACAGGTGCCTAGAGATGCTGCTGCCAGCACTCCTCCCCACAGCTCTGGCTCTGGGCTGGGGAGGCCCAAGAGACCAGGTGGCCCAGCCCATGAGGTGGCCCAACACCTCACATGCCAAGTGCAGAGTGACCGCTGCAGTCTGGGGAGGGGTACTGAGGACCAGTGTTCTGGAGGGCGGGGAGGCTGGAGAAAGCGGGTGATGGACGAGGAAGGCGGGGAAGGGGCAGAGAAGGCGCTGGGGTGGGCCTACGGGAGGTTATGTGATGTGGGAGCAGCAAGGCCACTTCTTGGCTGAGGCCAGGCCCTTCAACAGGGCTCAGCCCTGCCCCTCCGGGTGGCGTCCGTGTCTTGGCAGTGTCGGTCTGTCCCTTTTCAGTGGATTATTCCTTCAACCCATCCATGTGATCAGGGCATTGCCAGCCTAAACACCGCCTCTCCCCCTTGTTTCCTTGCAAATGCCCCTCTCCCCTGCCCCACTCCACCTTCTTTGCCACCAAGTGTCCCTTAGCTGCTCTCTCCTGGGCCCCACGTTCTCGTGCCTCTGCAGCTCCCCTCTCCACCTCTCTACAAACCAGCTTCCTCTCCTCTGCCCTCAGCTCTTACTCTCCAACCCTGCCTTCTCCTGACCGGTGGCAGCCCTACCCCCAAGTGCAGCCTCATAGTTCTGGTTCCAATTCTAGAGGGAGCACATCTGATTGGCTCAGCCAAGGCCGGTGTCAGCTGTCCACACCCGGTCCAGTGAGCTTAGGTCAGAGGCTACCTCAGCCCACCCTTCAGCAGGGCTGGGAGCATAGGCAGGGTGGCTACCTTAGAAATTTCCACCTGTCCCAGCCACAGTCTAGGCCTTTGTCCTCCAGCAACCTCCTCTAACTCTCCTACCCCCACAGCCCACCCTGTCCATTCCAATCTCTCACTGCCAGCACAGGGACCATGATGCTTCCCTCCTTGGACCCTCTGGGAGCTCCTCTACCTCCTCCTGCCCACGGGGGAACCTTAGACAGACCCTTCCTAGGGACCCCTGCCAAGCCTGGTGGCACAGGCACAAGCTGTCACTCCATCCTCTCTCCTCCTACCCCCCCCCCCAGGATGCCTCAGTGCTCTCCGTGATCCTGGCGCTGGGCCCGAGCCTCAGGGTGCTAGACCTGTCCTCCTGTGTGACTCTCACCAATGGCACCGTGCAGGCCATCTGCACTTACCTCACCCACCTCTCGGTCCTGCGCCTGGCTTGGTGCAAGGAGCTCCATGACTGGGGGCTTCTGGGGCTGGAGGAACCAAGTGAGGAACATGCACAGAGGCCCCAGGTGTGGGACCCTCAAGGTCATGGTTGGGGAGGGGCGGCCCCTGGGCTCAGCTGCCCTCCTGCCTCTCCCAAGTCTCTCTAGAAGCATTCAAGGGCAAACTCAGGAAGAACCTGAGATGCAGGGGCTTCTTTCCACAGCCATGCCCTGAGCTGGAGCATCAGGCCTCAGGCCCCAAGGACCCCTCTCCTGAGCCACAGGGCCCCTCCCTGCTCACGCTGCAGGCCCTGCAGGAGTTGGACCTCACAGCCTGCAGCAAGCTGACTGATGCCAGTTTGGCCAAGGTGTGGGGTGGGGTGTGGATAGGCTGAGGATTGTGGGGCTGAAGCCAGAGGCCTGGGCCACCCGACTTTTCACAGTTCCTTTCTCACTGGCTTCTGCTGTCCGTGGGCACTCCCCTGGCCGGGGATAGGGGAACCTGGAAGGGCCCCAGGCTGTGGGCTCCAGCGCCATACTACACCCACCCCACCCTACCTCATCCTTGCAGGTGCTCCAGTTCCCCCAGCTGAGGCAGTTGTCACTGAGCCTGTTGCCAGCACTCACAGACACGGGCTTGGTGGCTGTGGCCAGGGGCTGTCCCAGCCTGGAGCTCTTGGCACTGAGTCATTGCAGCTGCCTCAGTGATGAGGGCTGGGCCCAGGCAGCCAGCTCCTGGCCAAGGCTGCAGCACCTCAACCTGTCCAGCTGCAGTCAGCTCACAGACCAGTGAGTGTGTCAAATGACACTGAGCACATGGAGCCACAGTGCAGGGGTGGGCTGGGGCCCCATGCTGGGCCAGGCACTCATCCAGTGGCCTCCCCACAGAACGCTGGACACCATTGGGCAGGCGTGCAAGCAGCTCCGGGTGTTGGATGTGGCCATGTGTTCTGGTATCAACGTGGCTGCCGTCAGGCGCCTCCAAGCCCAGCTGCCCCAGGTGACCTGCGTCCAGTCCCGCTTCGTGGGAGGAGCGGACCTGACCCTAACGCTCTAAGGCCAGGTCAGTAACCAGCCCTGTGGTTTAGCCTCCTCTCCCCCTAGGGCCCCAGCCCTCTGTGCCTCTTGCCTTCCTCTGCTAGTGACCGCTTATCTAGGACTGGGGGTGGGACCAATCCAGGGCAGCCCAGGGGACTATCCGCCCGTCTGCCCCACAGCCAGGCTGCAGCCTCTTTCCAGCTACATGTTGCTGCCACAGGCTCCTCCTCTCCTGGCCAGGGCCTGGCTGGGCCTGGTGCTGAGAAGCAGACCTTGTGCCTCTTGCCTGCCCACCTCTGGGACCTCAGGCCTGTGCTCACCTGTTCCCTGTGGGAGCCATCCCAGCCTCCCGTGAGCACTGGGCTTTAGCAGCCAAGCCCAGGTCTTTGCTGTAAACCTAAACAAGATTAAAAATTCCAGATAGTACCTCCTTGTCTTAAGTTCTCAGACTAAAGTGCCCCTCCCCTCCCCACTTCAGTTGAAGCGGCCTTGGGGCAGGTGGAGAAAACACCAGAGGCCCACAGAAAACTTCTTCCTCAGCTCACCCCAGAGCCCCACAGGCACCCCCACCCTGGCCTCAGGGCCGGTCCCCACTAGCCTCTCCACCCGGGCCTGGCTTCTTCCCACATGGTAGGAGACTCCAGAGGCTTGGAGGCCTCTCCCAGCACAACCCCTGGGTGTGCCCTGCAGCAAAGGCACATCATACGCAGCTGATGTCAGCTGGTTAACAATGTTAAACATGGTATTGGAGGAGGCACTGGGGAGAAGAGGTCAGTAGCATGGAGAAAGGAAGTCAGGGTGGTGGCAGCTTTCAGTCTGCCCTGAGGGCTCCACAGACTGCTGAGCTCTTCTTTCCTCAGGGGGTTGGGGTCTATGGCCAGAGCTGGGCCCAATACCACTTCTGCCCCCGGGGGCTCTGGCCTGTCTATGGTCCCACCTCACCCATGCTCCTGAGATAGGTTTCAATCAGAAGGCAGGGCTTCCTGCACAGACTGGCCTGGGATGCCCTTTGGAATTTTTTTTGAGATAGGGTCTCACTCTATCACCCACCCAGGCTGGAGTGCAGCAGCTGATCATAGCTCACTGCAGCCTCCAACTCCCGGCCTCAAGTGAGCCTCCCACCTTGGCCTCCCAAAGTGCTGGGATTACAGGTGTGAGCTACCACTCCCAGCTACCCTTTGGCATCTTGAGCTTGCCCTTCAGTAGAGAGCAGGCCCAGCTTCACATCTCTCCCTTCATGCCTCTCACCAGAGGCCTCCAAGTCCCACGAAGGACACCAGCCAGGGCCATCAGGATTGAGGACTGAGGTCAGACTGTCAGAAGCTTTCTGGAAGCATGGTCCCCAGACTAACCCTTGTTAGTGCTGCCCAGGAAGGCATCCATTTGGGGCAATGCCTCCCTGCCACCTCTCCCTTGGCTGGTGCCCCCGGACCACAGGCCATCCCTCTCTGCAGGCCCAATACTGAGAGAGTTGAAGACTCATATTGGAGACAGACAATAGTCCCAGCCTGTCCCCATCCATGCCCCGCCCCCCAGAATACCAGCCCCCCAGCTGCAGCTGCCCATGCCCCAGTTTGTGGTCCTGGCCCCAATGCCCCATCTCATCCACTAGCTATGTTTGAAGGCAGAAGGGAAAGATTGTCACTGTCACAGGTTTGGCCCACAAGGTTCAGAGCTGGCTCAACACATACCCAAGAGCCAAGCAGAATTTATTTCTGCTGCAATCTCTGATGGTCAGGGTGCCTGCGCGTCTCTACCCTCCGCCTTTCAGGGCTGCGGCAGTGGCAGCAGCTGTGGCCCTTGGCCAGTCTCCCTGTCAAGGTTCAGCGATGCTGCAGTCGTAGCAGAAGTTGAAGTTGGTGGGGGGCGGAGGTACGGGGGGTGGCCGCTCAGGGATGGGCACGTTCTCCAGCTCCAGCAACCGCAGCTTGGTCTCCATGGTCAGCAGCTGCTCCAGGTCCAGCCGTGTCTGCTCGCTGCCCATGGGACTGCCCAGCAGGGCACTCAGCCCGTCTGTCCACAAGTGGAACTGGGGACGACGGGGCCAGCTCCGTGAGGGCCTGCCCATCTGTTCCCCTGCCCATCCGCCCAACTCAGCCTGGCCCAGACACTCACCTCCCGCTTGGAGGGGGCAATAAAGTTGAGGTGCGCCTCCTCCTCCCCTCGGTCGTAGCTGACTGAGAAGGCCAACTCATACAGGTCCTGGGGAAGCAAGGCAGCAGGGAACTGAGCAGGGAGCAGGGCAGGCTGGGGCAAGAGCGAAGGAGCCCCCAGCCACACTGCATTCACCTTATTCTGCTTCCCGGAGCCCTTCTCCCTGACGTGGGGGCAGTCCTTGCCTGTCAGGAGTGCTCTGATGTCGGCCACAGGAACTGCAGGGAGAAGGCTGGGCTGACCACTGGGGCCCCAGGCGGCCCTGGGGCATGGAGCGGTCTGGGGGGGGCAGGTGTCTGGCCCCAGCTCTTGCCCTCCTTACGCTGCTCAGACAGGCCTTCTGGGGTGGGCGGATCAGCGCCCTCCTCCACGTCCCCGTACTGTAGCACCTTGTGGTTGGGGGACAGGCAGCAGAACCACAGCTTGTCTGTGCAGAGAAAGGGGAAGAGGGCAGGAGTGCCGCCAGGGGCCCTGACCGCAAGCCGGCCACCCTCTGCCCCAGCCTCTGCCCACTCAGAGACCCTGGCGACGCCGGCTGCTGATCTTGCGGAAGAGGGTTCCCTCGCAGAGGCGGAGCAAACGCTGCTGGCGGATCAAGCCCATGAGCTCTGGCTTCAGTTTCTCTCGAAGTTCCCTGGATTGTGGGGTTGGGGAGTCACTGACCAGGACTGACCTGGGGCGTGGCCTAGGGGTGCCAAGGAGGGTGGGGCTAGGATTGGGGACCTAAGCCTACTAACTCACAGTATGGGAGGAGCTAGCGTGCCCTCCTGATGCAACCGCTCGGTCTGCCGCAGCCGCAGCACCTCCGCGTAGGTGAGCGCGTTCACCTTGGTGCGGAAGAGCTCCAGGGAAGTGGGCTTCAGGGCCAGCGTGCGGGCCAGCTGCTCCCGTACCACCTGCATGACCTGGGGCGCCCCAAGCTCAGCTCAGGGCCTGAGCTCTGTGCCCCTGCCCAGAACGGCCCCTGCCCTGGCCCAGGTTTCCCAGCTCCCTGCCTTGTCAAAGTCCTCCTGTGTGGCCCGCATCTCCTTCCAGGTCTTGTTCAGCAGCTGGATGCCCACGCAGAAGAGCTCATGGAAGCTCTGGTCTTGGCCGAAGAACATGGGCGAGAAGTCCTGGGCCGTCTCGGAGCCTGGAGCAGGGGGGCAGGAGGGGCTCAGGGAGAAAGTGTGTGCAGCCCCTGGCCCTCTCTGCCCTTCCGCCCCCTGTTCCCAGACACGCTGCACCAGCTGAGCCCCACTCACAGGGCTCCCCGACGCGGAGCAGCTCACACAGCAGCACCGTCAGCTGGATGCTGCTCCGAGCAAAGGGACACTCATGCTTGTCCTCACGGCTGCTGTTCTCCAACACAAACTGGGGTGGGGGAGCAGAGAATGGCGCAGACAGTCACAGCTAAGCCCACAGAGACCCTGCCAAGGTGGGGGTGCTGCCGGCCCCTGCCCTTCCCTGCACTGACCCGGCTGTATGCACTGGGTGCGTGTCTGGAGAAGTATAACATGTTGTCCAGGGCCAGCAGGCCAGGGGGCACGCGCTCTAGGTCCTGCCCTGGGTTGCTATTCTGCGGGAAGGAGGCACAGGCAGTTCAAGAAGGGCCCCACCCTCTGGAACAACAACAGCCCTGGGCTGAGGCAGGGGTGGGAGCCGGGTAGGGGTCACTCACGGAGAAGCCCAGTTTGCGGAACTCTCGGGCACAGAGGGAACGGCGACGGTCAGCGCTCAGCCCGGTGCCCAGCGACTCCCCCTCTGACTCAAAGGCGGCCTGGCGCAGGGTCTGCAGCTGCTCCCGCTGCTCCTGGGGTCATTGTTGGGGGGAGTGTCAAGACCGTACATTCAAGGCCAAGACCTCCAGCCTTGGGCCTCCCCAAATACACGCACCTGGCTATAGGGGTCCAGTGGCGTCCGCATGCGCGGCTCCAGCAGCCCCAGTGTGAGTGATTGCAGCACATACAAGTGATGAGCCATCTCGTCACCCAAGGGTGCTGCACTGTGAATGATGTTCTGGAGGACAGCCCGTCATGGCGGTGAGCGAGGGCTCACTGGGAGAGGAACAGGGAGGGAGTTCCCTGGCCTCCTCCCTCCTACCTTGTAGATGAACTGGCGAAGGTTTCTCTGCCACAGGTAGTCAAGCATGTGCTGAGGGAGTGGGAAGGGGGCTTAGATGACTTAGCCTCAGAGTGGAGCACAGCACCCGCCAGCTGCTGCCCCTGTCCAGCCCCCGGTGGGCGCTCACCTTACGTTCTGCAGGGCTGGCCCCCTGCAGCAAGGCTGTTAGCAGTGCCATGGCCTTGGTTTGTAGCTGCTGGTTCATCCTGTGGCAAGAAGAGGACTCAGCCGAACACCCAGGGTCTGGCCCTGCTCCCCCGTCTGTACCCCACTCCCAGGAGCTTACACCTGCAGGTGCACCAGCAGCCTATCCAGTGGCACCTCACTCTTGACCAGCTGGCCCAGGGCAGGGCTGCTCAAGGTCACGCTCTCCAGCAGCCGAAGAGCCAGGGGCTGCACAGAGGCATCCATCAGGTTCATGTTCACATAGCACACGACCTATAAAAGCGGTAGGGAGTGTCACTGCCTCACCAACATGGAAGGCTGTGTCTAGCACCGCCCCGCCGCCCCTCCCCGCTACCCCTAGAAAAGCCCACCCACCTTCCTCACAAAGGGGATGCTGAGTGTCTCCCAGGACACCACGCCGTGTTCCATGAGCTCCATGAAGGCCCTCAGGCCGAGGGCTAGCACCTCCCCTAGGCTGAGGGGGACATCTGGGGCTGAGCAGGACCAGACCAGGACCCCCAAGCCCCACCATGTCCCCCAGCCACCACAGCCCTGTGCTCACTCGTCCCCATCCTCAATGATGGTGCCTAGTCTCTGAAGCCCATCACGGCTGATGACCTCCCGGGCAAAGGTCATGTCTGAGGACAGCAGGACGAGGCGTCTCAGCGCTTCCCGGCGCCCTTCACGACTCCCACTCTGCAGCCCACCCAACAGCTGCTCAGCCTCAAGGTCCTGGCAGGGGCGGAGCACGAGCACAGGTGAGCAGGCTGGGCGCTGTAAGGGTGGGAGCTGGAGTGCGGGGACCCTGGTGTCCACTAGGTGGCGCACTGCTGGGCTGGGGCCAGGCCTCCAGACGTGAGGCAAAGGCGCCGGGCGGAGGAGAGGCCAGCGCAGGGGCAGGGAATGAGGGGCGGGCAGGGAATGAGGGGCGGGCAGGGAAGGGCATTACTGGGGCAGTATTGAGGCACAGGATGCTGCCATTCTTGATCTCCGCGCGGTTCTGGGGAAGACAGCAGAGGGGGCAGCAAAGTCAAGGCGGGCTCTGAGGATTGTCAATTGGGGTGTCAGGGAGACAGCGTGCGGGGGTCAGTAAAAGAAAGATCACATTCCAGACAGGGGGAAGATGAGTATGAGGACCCAGGGCCAGGTGGGTTAGAGGGGCCAGAGGGTGGAGTGTGGGTGCTCTGGGGGGAGAGGGGACTCACATTCTCGGTGATGTATCTCCTGTGCCCATCAGCAAACTGCAGGGCATAGCGCTCAGGGTGAGTCAGGCTCCACCTGCGGGTGTGAAGGCTCTGTGAGGCAGGTAGGGGCGCCCCGCCCGCCCTTCCCCCACCCCGTGGCCCGGCTGGCCCCACTCACGCGTCGCACACCTCCTTCAGCACAGCAGCCAGGGGCTTTGCCTGCAAATGGAGCGGTCACTTACGGGGCGGAGTAGGGAGGGGCTGGGGAGGAGCCTCGGGGGAGGTGTGGGGTGGGCTGCTCCGAAGGGGAAGGGGGCGACCCAGAGGTAGGCGGTGGGGCAGATGGAGGCAGGACAGGCCAGGTGACCTGGTCCAGCTGGATGAGCTGCGGGATGGCGTCACGCATCTGGACGGCAATCTTCACCACGTTCCGCGGGGGCGCCATGGTCCAGTCGGGGCGTGGGCGCCTGCACTTTCTACAGACTGTGCAACCTCTGGCCGAGGCCACACCTGGCCCGGAGCCCCTGGGGACAAGGAGGGCGTTCCTCTGTCCGCGACCAAGCCCGAGTCCAGTGACCCACACTCACGGTCCAGGATCCAGCTCCTGGCCAGGGGCTGCGGCCTTCCCAATGGAGGCTAGTTCCGGGTTGGAGTCCGGGGGTAGGAAGGTAAGAGGACGGCGCCTGCCCTGTCCCGCCCCGCCGAGGCGGCCCCGCCCCGCCCCAAGGTGCGGCAGGTGGGGGCGGGGAGGGCAGGCTGCCCCACCTCCCGTTCCAATGAGGTGACCCACCCAGTCCCACCACCAATCCAGCAAGTCCCAAGGAGAGGCCGAAAGAACCAGGTCAGAGATAGCCTTAGGCATGGTCTTTATTCACTTGGACACTGTACAAATATTACAATTTCCTTTTGCTGCAAAAAGTATAAAAATAATCTTTTATATAGGAATCCATTCGTTACTGTAAATCTTTCTAAATCTCTGCAAATGGCTCTAAATGAGGGTAAATGAATAAATGGAAACAAGGGGGGCTATGGGGCAGCGGGAGCTGGGCTAATCCTCAGGGCCAGACTGCCCAGATTCCTAGCTAGGGACCTCTGTTCCTTCTTGTTAGCGCCTCCCCATGGCCACCTGCGTTTCCAGGGCTAAGGGCCCAAAAGAGGGGCACATAAGAGGTCCACAAAGAGCCAGAGGGCTGAGGGGTGGGGAGCAGCGAAGGAAACCAGGGGTGGGCTGGCATGTGCCCAGCTCTACCCCACCCTTCTCTCCCTGGGGGGAAACGGGGTGGCAGCAGGGCAGTGGGGCTGGACAAGCTGCCCTCTGGGGGCGATGGCGGGTCCTGGGTTCTGAGCCACTGGGTGGCAGCCGAGCCTGGGCTGGGGAAGGCCCCAGAAAAGGAGAGACAAACGCTTTGGCTCCGCCGTGGTGGGGGCTGAGCCCCTTTCCCCTGCACTGTGAGCACAGTGCAAGTGCCAGTACAGGAATGGGAGCTGTGGCCAGAACTGTGCAGAGGGGAGGCTGGAGAACCAGAAGTCTGTGGCTCTCAAGCTGTGTAGGAGTGGGTCAGGGGAGGTCCCCAGGCAGCCCCCAGGTCTGGGTCCCAGCCACACAGGGCATGTCCCTGTCAGTCACAGGTTGAGAACAGGCACATCAAAGAGGTCACAGACACCTTCACTCTCGTCCAGGTTGTAGATGTAATCGTGGTCTCCCGGGGGCGGAGAAAGACGGAGGAGGGGGGCAAACACTGCAGAGAGCACTAGGCTGAGACCCTGGCCGAGGCCCCACCCAGCAGCTGCCCAACCCCTTGCCCACACCCACCCCCCACCTTCCTGGGCCACCCACCTTCTGAGGACATCAACTCCTCCAGCAGCTCCGAGCTCATACACTCTGGGAGGGGAGAGAGAGCTGTTATGTTGTGGCTCCCACCCCCTCACCCACCAAAGCCCAGGGAAGGGAACCCCCACCCGCCCATCAGGAGGCTTACGCTTTGCCCCAGGTACCAAGCACAACCAAAAGGTCCTCAGAAGGGCAAGAAAACAGCCATAGGACCCAATGAGTTGTGTCCCTTACTCCCAGCCCCAGGGAGGACTGCAGCCTACCTCGTGTGGGATCAAAGATTTCTGACAGCTCTTTGGGGAGTTCCAGAACTGCAAAACAAGGAAGCCATGCTCAAGGTACAGATGTCCAGCCTGGTCCCACTGCAGCCCCTGCCTTCCTTGGATCCTATACCACCCACCCTGGGCTCCCCACAGCTGAGGAAAGGTAGGCCCTGCCCTCGGTTAAGCTGGCATCATCTGTTGGTCTCACCTGTTAGACCAGAACTCCTTAGAGCTGAGCCCAGGGCACCAAAAACCCACTGCAGGTAACTGGTAGAGGCTTTCTAACTCAGAGGTGCTACAGGAGGGCAATAGACTCCCCTCCCTTTCTGGACTCCGCGTGCTCACCCTGTCTGATGGAGGATGCCCCATCCATCCCACTCTAGCTGAGCACCTGCTCTGCACAAGGCTCAGAGACCACAACCCGGGTCTGGTCACCAGGCAGAGGTGGAGATAGACACTTCAAGAGGGGCTAGTGCTGCAAAGCTCTGACCAGGAGGACACATATGGGAAGCAGAAGAAAATGAAATCAGAGAAGATCTCAAGGAACTTCACATGCCAGGCTCAGGAGCTCAGATTTTATCCAGTGGGCCTTAGGGAGCTGTTAAAAAGGTACTTTTGGGCCAGGCATAGTGGCTCATGCCTGTAATCCCACTACTTTGGGAAGATGAGGTCAGAGGATGGCTTGAGGCCAGGAGTTCGAGACCAGCCTGGGCAACATAGCGAGACCCGTCTCTACAAAAAATAAAAGAATTAGCCAGGCATGATGGCACATGTCTGTAGTCCCAGCTACTTGGGAGGCTGAGGCAGGAGGATGGCTTAAGCCCAGGCATTAGAGGTTGCGTGAGCTATGATCAGCCACTGCACTCCAGCCTAGGTGACAGAGTAAGACTTCTATCTCTTAAAAAAAAAAAAAATACTTTTGTAAACAGAAATGCCACAGTCAGGTTTGTGTTTCAGGAAGACTGTTCTCTCAGGGTAAAGAGAAGGGTGCTGAAGAATCTAGTATAGAGGTGGCCAAGAGTCAACCTGAGTGTTATGGATGCAAGGGAGATAGGACGAGGTGTCTGGGACAGAATGCTTAGCTAACAAGGGGTGGGCAGCGGAGTAGAGAAGAGGAGATGAACTGGAGTGATATCCAAGGGTCAGGCCTGGGTGACTAGGGCCGATGGTAGGGTGCGCACTGAGATAGAAAGCGAGTTTGGGGAGGAAGATAAGTTCAGCTGAGGACACATGGGAATGAAGTGTCCGTTGGATGTGCAGGGGATGGCAGGTGGACACCGCAGAGTGGGGATCGGGCTAGAAACCTAGGCAAGGCAGCAGCTGGGGGTTCACCCACCCAGAGTCAGGGACCCCTCCCGGTGTAGAATGGGACAGAGCCCCAGAAAGTGCCAATGTTTAAGGAAGTGTCAGGGAAAGTTCAAGGAGAAGCCAGTGAGGTAGAAGCCAGCAAGAAGAAGGCATCATTAAAGCCAAAAGAGAAAAGAGCATTAACACGGAGCAAGAGAGTACTGAAGCAAAAACACTCTAGAAATGTGGATTCGGCAGCTGGGTCTTCAGCAACTTCTCAAGAGTGGCACTGCTGTAGTGCCAGGGGTGAGGTGTGACTGCTGCAACCTCAAGGGTGACTAGGAAATGAAGATGTGCAGGGGAGTAGAGAGTACTTTTTCAAGGAGTCCAGACAGAAAGGAGACAGGGAAGGCAAGAGGGAGGACACAAAGGAGGAGTAGCAATCAGAGACGCAACAGAGGCTGTGTTGCTCCAAAGGGTGGCAGGCAGGGCTTGACAGAGGGCCAGGGAGTTCTGTGCTAGTCCAGGAAGGGGGAAAAAAGGGCACCTCGCCCTGGCTGGCAGAGAGCTCTGTGTCAGGCAGGGGTTCACAGAGCTGGGTTCCAGCCCCAGTGCTGCTTCTGACCGAGGACTGGGCAGAAGCTGGATTCTCCCTGCCCCGGGGCAGGCAGGTACTCACCGCCTGTGGGGTCTGCCTTGATGGGCTCAAAAGAGGTAGAAGGGTTGGGTCCAGCTGAACTGCTGCTGTTGCTGCTGCTGCTGCTGCTGCTGCTGCTGTCCAGCAGGGCAGAAGACTGCAGTGGCCGGGTGTCCAGTGCTGTCGGGCCCAGCGGGAGTGAGCTGAGCTCACCACTGTCCTTGCTATCAGTTCCAGGGCCACCACTCACTGCAACCACATCCCCCAAACCCAGTCACAAGAGGGCAGGAAGTGGGTCATTGAACCTAGCTGTGATAGAACCCGTGGCCACAATGACCGACGAGTCCTAATTCCCAGACCCAAGGAGAATTAGGCATTGCCAGTTGTGCCAAAAGAGGTAACCTGGAAACGAGTCACTAAAGGAGACAGGGGCACAAGGCCTATAGGAGGGAGACTCATGGATATGTCTGCTGTGGCCACACTTCAAGAGTGCTGCAAGGGCAGGTGAGACACCAGTGGATCTGGGGGAAACTGTCACCATTAATAGCCCTTTACAGGCCGGGCGCAGTGGCTCACGCCTGTAATCCTAGCACTCTGGGAGGCTGAGGCAGGCGGACTGTTTGAGCTCAGGAGTTCGAAACCAGCCTGAGCAAGAGCGAGACTCCGTCTCTACTAAAAATAGAAAGAAATTAATTGGACAACTAAAAATATATAGAAAAAATTAGCCGGGCATGGTGGCGCGTGCCTGTAGTCCCAGCTACTCGGGAGGCTGAGGCAGTAGGATTGCTTGAGCCCAGGAGTTTGAGGTTGCTGTGAGCCAGGTTGACGCCACGGCACTCACTCTAGCCCGGGCAACAAAAGCGAGACTCTGTCTCAAAAAAAAAAAAAAATAGCCCTTTACACAGTCAGAGCTTCCCTGTTATAAAGGGATCAGTTACTCACTGCTATTGCAAGGGGAGGCTGGGTGGAGGCCAGGAAAAGGACAGCCCCTCAAAGTCTCTTCCAACTTTGAGTATGGCATTCCACAAAACAGAGGTGTTGCCTCTTGGACCCCAGAAGATAATCCTATCACCAGCTCCCATTGTGCCTCACCTGTGATCTCAGCTGCTGGGCTGGCCACCCCTAGGACTTCGGTGGTGCCAGGGACATGGGTGGAAGTGGTCAGCTGGGGACTGCTTGGACGTGAGGCTTCCTGGGGCTGGACTAGGGCAGGCTTGGGCAGAGGTGGAGGGGTAGAAACAGCAGGTGGGCTCTGGAGCAGATCTTCAGGTGGCGGCACAGGCACAGCCACAGGTGGTGAGCTCCATGCCTCCTTGTTCACCAGCAGCACTTCGATGGGGCCACTCACACTCTTTAGGTGGATCTGGTACTTCTTCTGCCCATTGAGACCCTGGAAGTAAGTGGTAGGGGATAGGGGACAGGTGGGATTGGAAGCAGGCTTGGCTCCTCCTGCCTGACCTCGGGTCAAGGCCAGTGTCCTCTCCCACCCAGGCTGCCCATCCTCCTAGATAACCCCAAACCCCAGGCGTCCCCCTACCTGCCCCACCCGGGACTTATCAGGCTCCACAGCCAGCACCCGCCCTCAATCGACCCCGCCTGCCTGGGTTGAGCACCCACCTCTGGGATGGGCACCTCCAGGCTGGTGCCCGATGGGGCCCGGATGGCCAGGAGGGTGTCTCCTAGAATGACAAAGAGAATGGGTCAGAGCCCATGGGTTCAATCTGAGCTGGGAAGGGAGGTACTTTCCCCTTGAGGCAAGGCAGGAGACCATGGTCTCAGGTACTGGACACTAGGCCTCACCCATCCCCCACAGTGGGCGGACAAAGCTAAAGCCTTTCTCTTCCCGAGGCCAGGGTCAGTAATGAGGAAATCTGTGTTCAAATATGTAGACTGAAAGATCACTGGTCATGGGCACCTCACTCTTTGATCGACAGGGCTGATTTCTAGGTACAGGTGTTCTGGTTAAGGCCAATGTCCCCTTCCCAGGACTAGCCTGAGGTACACAAGACGGAAAAGGATCAGCTCCTGTATTAACAATGCTACTAAACTAACTACAGGTTAAAAGAGGGCACCACTGTTCCATGCACACAAGCATGCAACAGCCTGCCTGCAAAAGCACGCATGCACACACGCGCGCAGACAGACACAGACAGACACACACACATACACACACATACTCTCTTTCCCTCCCCCTTGTGCCTCTATCATGCCCAAGAAGCCAAATCCAGGGGACAATGCAGATGGGAGCAAACCCAGGGACCCGCTCCAGAATTCTTGTACCGTCTTAGCATAGTTGGCCTTCACAGGGTCCCAGTGACCCTCAAAAAGACTTACCCTTCCTGGTTCCTCTTTGAGCAGGCCTTAGGATCTTAAGAGATGGAACTCTCCTTGGGCACTCAGCCCAACACTCAGGGCTGTGGTTCAGCCCAGCCCCACCCCCATGTCCCCCTACCCAGGCTCTGCTCACCAGCAAAGCATCTGCAGATGTCCTCATGAGTCACGTAGGCCAAGGTGTGGGGGTTAAGGAGAATGGCTGATGCCCTGCCTATGGTGACAGATGGCAGGCTACAGAGAAGACCCAACTCTTTAGCAGAAGTGTGACATACAAGCCCTCAGACAAAGTTCTGGGGGCTGGGGTCCACATGGGGTTGGATCGCAGGCCAATACTGGAGGAGGAGGGGCTCTGGGGAAGGGGCGTGAGGCTGGGACCTGACCAGAGGCTACAGGACCATCCTCCCAAGAGGGACTGGGCCCAGGGCACACAGAGAAAACCCAGCTGGACCAGAGGGCCCCTTGCCCACTCCCCCAGAGCAGGGACCGCCAGGAGGATATCAGCTGTTCTGCACGTCCTCTGTGACGTTCCGGATGCTCTGCTGCACCCACACCTTGTGTTGGTCCAGTTCTTGCTCCCGCTGCTGGAGCTCCTCGATCTCTGCCTTGAGCTCAATCAGCTTGTCGGCAATCTCTCGGGTGTTGCAGCCAGGCCCCACACCCCTGAGCCCAGGGAGTGGGGCTGAGAGGGACTGCTGGGAACTGTGGGTCCCATGGCCCCTGTCCTCTCCTGCACCCTCCACCCCACACCCCTGATAGACACTTCTGGACAGGACACCCTACTGCCCTCTCAGATTCCCCCACTCACTTCCACTGGATGCTGTTCTTGGATTTTTTCTCGATCAGCCCAATACCTTCTAACACGTTGGTAATGTCATAAATCCGCCGCTTCTGGCGCACAGCTAGGGTGTCAGCTGCCTGGCAGACAGAACAGAGTGGAGAATACTCAGCTCCACTATCAGGTGTTGTACCCCCAGCTACCGTGAAACATGATCTGGAAGTGGGGTAGCTTGGGTCCCAACCCTGTAGTGCCTCCCAGGCACTACTGTAGCTCAGGACCGCAGGGTGAGAAGAGACCTGGCACAGTCCTGAACTGATGTTCTTTCTGATGCTCTATCCCCACGCCAGCCAGGAAGGGCCACGAGGAGGAGCACCTGCAGCCCCGAGCCTAGCACATAGCTGACTCGGCCGAATGAATGAAACAGCCCCGGTCTCTCTCCTGTGAGAAAGCACACGATGGCGGCTGGCTCTCAGAAGACCCAGCTAGGGCACGCCAGGGGTTCCCGCTACCGACCCAGGCCTGGTCCACCATCCCCGCCTTGTCGCCCCTTAGCCCGAGCCGCACCAGCTTGAGGTCAAGCACGCCGTCCTTGGCCTCCTGCAGAAGCGACACGAACTTGGTGGTGAGAAGTCCCAGACTCTTCTCGTGCCGGCTTGGGGTGCCCGGGGGCGGCGGCGCCTGTGGCCCGGCCTCCGCCATCGCGCCCGCCCGCCGCCTCCCCTCAGCCAGGCCAGGCCAGGCCGGCGCCGCCGCCACTTCCGCTTCCGTTCCTGGCCGCCCGGCAGCCGGAGCCAGCGTCGCTGCTTCCGCTTCCGCCTCACGCATCTTCTAGGGAACCTGGCGCAATTCCTGCCTACAGAAACTGCCGCAAAACTTCAGGGACCATCAGCAAATGTCCAACTGCCGAATAAGACGAAACTACCCGAGGATCCTGGGAGACCTGACAGGTTGGGGAGAAATGTGTTGGAGGTCAGTGGGTAGCCTGGGCAGTAGAGACGTGGGAGTCACCCGAACCTTTCTTGCCAGCCTGCTGCAACACCACTAACTGGCCACACTGCCTGATGAACCCAACTAGTTCCCTCAAACCTGCACCTAAAGGCTGCCCCACCGTCTTGGGGTCACCCATTCTATTCCTGTACCTCATTTCCTGCCAGACAGCAAGCACTTGTCCCACTTCTCTCCATCCCTGGTCCCAGCCTCATCTTTCTTTTGTCTCCACACTACAGTGCACCGATGCAGACATGTTTACCTATGTGTAAACATAAGTGCACTTAGAGCAATTCCTGGCATATAGGAAGGATTATGTGTTTGCTAGAGCCATTTTGTTATTTTTAACATTGTTATTATTTATTATTATTCCTTTTTAATTAATCAATTAATTTTTTTTTTAGACACAGGATCTATTGCTCTATCACCCAGGCTGGAGTGCAGTGGCCCGATCATAGCTCGATCATAGCCCGATCATTGTGTAACCTTGAACTCCTGGGCTCAAGCGATCCTCCTGCCTCAGCCTCCAGAATAGCTGGGACTACAAGCACAGGCCAACACACCAGGCTAAGTTTTTTATTTTTTATAGAGACAGGGTCTCATTATGTTGTCCAGGCTAGTCTTGAACTCCTGGCCTCAGGCAATCCTCCACCTTGGCCTCCCAAGGTTCTGAGATTACAGGCGAAAGCCACGTACTCGGCCAATAAGTTATTATCTTATTCCTTTTAGGTCAGGTTCTTTGCGACATGGTCTCTGAGACAGGGAATTTGCTGCAAGCTTATTGGGGATCCACACTTTTAAGAGAGTAAGCCAACAAGAACTGGGCAGATGCAGTTATAATAGAGGCCTCAGCCCATCCCACCTCAGTTCTGAAATTGTGGTAGCCCTTCTGAGATGTTCACATCCAGGCAAGGGTACCAAGCCTTTGTACCCGAATATTGACTGAGAGATTCACCTGTGAGACCTCAGCAGCCTACACTCTTGGCAGCTGGGGGAATGAGTGCCTCTGCCCTGGGGTCCCTTCCCTGGCTCCCTATAACTGTCAAGGTAAACACAGCTTTCACGTCCTCTCTCCTGCCACAGCTCCCTGTGCCCCCTCTTCCCAACAGCCTGCATCAGTTTCTCCTCTGCAGAGGTACATAGCCCCCTCCGTGGGGCCCGTCAACACAGTTTTGATACTATGATGTCCTCTGCGTCCATACTTGCACACTTCACCCTCCCCTGCCCCAGGCTGAGGCCAAGTCTAGTTTACATCTGTGTCCTGAGCACCAAGAGGTCCTGGGTGGGCTGGTCAAGACTCGATGACCACAGGAGTACGCCCCTCCCCCCACTCCTCAGGGAAGTGGCGCCCAGCCCTCCCCACCCTCAGTGCAGATGCTCTTTCCTGTTGGGAATAAAGTGCCAGAGACTCAGCTTCCTTCCTTTCTATCGGTGGCCTTGGGGAGGGCGGGGCTTTGGTGGGAAGAAGGGGCTTCTGGGCTGGGAAGTGGGAGACAGGCTTCTTTGGAGAGAGGAGTCCTCCTGCTGTGTACTGGAGTCAGCTAGAGTCACCGAGGCCCTGTGAGCGAGTGGTGGGCGTGCCCAGCTCTGCCGGGGGTTGGGGGGGAAGGGCCATTCTGAAGGCCAAGGCCATTTGCGGAGGAGGGAGAACAGGACTCCTGGTCAAGCCTGGTAAGTTCCACAACGAACTGTCCTGTACAGCTCAGGGCAGGCATGGGGTCCAATGGAGCCTGTGCCCACCCTGCCCCACTTGGCACCTGCAGTGACACAACTGAGAAAGCCAGCAGGCAAGGCCTCCCAGGTGCCTCCCCATCACACCACCTCCCTCTCATTTCCTGAGGGGGCCGGGCAAGAACCTCCCTCCTCCTTCTCAGAGGGGCCTAGACTGCGGCGGCAGCCCAAAGGAGCGTCCTCCCTTCCTGCTCTGTCTCAGACCCCCGCCCCTGGCCCACCTCAGCTCCGGCTTCTCCAGGCCCGCCATGGACTCAGCAGCCAAGGATGAAATGCAGCCCGCACTTCCCCCTGGTATGAGCCCTTCCGGGGGGCTGAGGGAGGAATGATGGCAAGAAAGGTGGGAATGGTGGAGTTGGGGCCTTCTGCCAGGGCTGGCTGGAGCTCTATAGGGCAGTGAGGGGCGTCCACTACCCTGGTGATGGGCTGAGGAGTAGGAAGGGGAGCGGGTTCGGAGGCCACTTCCTGCAGGCCTTCCCCGACTGACATGGCTGCCCAGGCTCTTCCTGCCCAGTGCCTGAGTGGCCAGAGCAGGAGAGGGCAGAGCGGCTGGCCCGAGGTGCCGCGCTCAAGTGGGCCTCGGGCATCTTCTACCGGCCGGAGCAGCTAGCCCGGCTGGGCCAGTACCGCAGCCGTGAGGTGCAGCGTACCTGCTCCCTGGAAGCACGCATCAAGGTGGGCTGGGGCAGGGAGCAGCAGTGCTGGGGCCGGGGTGCTGGGCTGGCCGGGCCTCACTGGCTGCCTCTCTCCACAGTCAGTGGTGCAATCATACCTGGAAGGCGTGCAGACTGGTGTGTGGCAGCTTGCCCAGGCCCTTGAGGCCGTGCAGGGGACCCGTGAAGCCCTGAGCCAGGCCCGTGAGTTGCTCTGGGGTATATCCAAGTCCTCACAGACCTTGGAGGCCCTGCGGGAGCAGGTTTCCCAGCACAAGCAACTGCAGGCCCTGTCTCAGTTGCTGCCCCGGCTTCAGGCAGGTGAGTGTGCAGGAACCCTGGGCCTCAGCATCCGACAGTCAGTCCACAAACGCCCATCACTGATCAAGGGGTTGGGGCACTAGGTGGGGGACTGCATGGAGGGGCATACCAGGGACCTCCCGGGGAGTAACTCAGGCTTCAAATGGCTTATGAAGCAGGATGCAAACCAGCTCATCCTGGAGTTCCCAAGCATGGGATGCTTAAATCAGGATGGACACCCCATCAAGTGGCTCTGGCCACCTTGGTTGTTAACATAGTGAAATATTTCCCTAACAGAGTGGGTGAATAGCCAATAGCATCACCCCTCAATTCCCCCTGCCTTCCCTCCAGGATCCTCGACTTCCTCATATTCCATTAGCTCATGGGTTGACGCCTGGCCCACTGGGCCTCTAGGACTTTTTTGCCTGGATCCTTTCAGATTAGCCAATGTTTTACTGTACCAGTTATTAAATATTTTATACATCTCCCCAGCCCCAGGGCCTCAGTATCCCCTGCTGTACCCATTGCGCTGGTGGGAAGGCTGAGACCCAGGGCTGTCTCCTTTCCTCCCTCATTAGTGCCAGCTGCAGTGGCCCACACACAGACCCTGATTGATACCCAACGGCTCTTGGAGGCATATGTGAGCCTTCGAAAGCTGGAGCAACTGCAAGAGGAGACATGGGCACCCCTGGGGGGCCTGGAGTTGCCAGTCTTCCAGGAGCTGGGCCTTCTGGCTGAGGCACTGGCCCAGGCTGTGGAGGCAGCTGCAGGGGCAGCAGGGCAGCTGGCACGGGAGGACCCAGCCCTGCTGGTGGCTGCTGTGCGTGTGGCGGAGATGGAGGCTGGACGAACAACCCACCTGGGGCAGGCTCCCCGGGACTGGAGGCAGCGCTGTCTTCAGGCACTACAAGAAGGCCTGGAGCGGCTCCACTTTGGGACATCTCTGCTGCCTGGTCCAGGGGCTCTAGCAGAGTGGCTGGAGGCTCTGCGAGTGGCCCTGCCAGCCGAGATGGCCACAGCTGAGGCACTAGTAGCACCCTGCTGCCCGCCACACTACAAAGTGGTCCAGTTATGGTCCCACACCCTGCATAGTGGCCTGCGCCGCAGACTGCAGCAACTCCTCGCAGGGCCTGAGCTGGGGGCTGCTGATGCCTTTGCCTTGCTGCATTGGGCACTGCATGTGTACCTGGGGTCAGTGTCTCTGGGGCATCGGGAAGTGGGTGAATCGGAGGCTGAGACCTCAGTGTGACACCAGGCCACCCATCTCCAGGCAAGAAATGATGGGGAGCCTGGAGTTGGGGGCTGAGGCTGACGTGTCCCAGCTGGAGCCCCTCCTAACCTTGGAGAATGTCGAGCAACTAGAAGCAACATTTGTGACCAAAGTCCAGGTGAGTAGTTGGGGCACAGGTCCAGAGAAGCTCTGCCCATCAACTGTGGGTCTATATCTGTAGAGTCAAATGTCTACCCACGTCTGGCAAGGTCAGTGCCCTGCTACATTCTTTTGCCCCTCACCCCTTCCCCCAGGCAAGTGTGGCCCAGTGGCTGCAGAAGGCGCTGGATGGGGAGGTAGCTGAGTGGAGCCGGGAGCAGGAGCCCAACACAGACCCATCTGGCTTCTACTACTCACCAATGCCGGCCATCGTGCTGCAGGTGGGTGGGAAGTGGCCAGGTAGGCGTGCAGCCCCACAGGGAAAGGAGAGGAGGGCAGGGGTAGGGGCTTTGCTGATGACTGCCCACCCCTGCCTGTAGATCCTGGACGAGAACATTCGTGTGACCAGCGTGGTCAGTGAGTCACTGCAACGGCGGGTGCATGCCATGGCACTGTCAGAGCTGGGTGCCTTCCTGAGGAGGTCTGCCAAGGCACTGACCCACTCCCAATTCCTAGCCCTGCTCCCAGGGCAGCCCAAACGGGCACTGAGTGAATAAGACACACCGGTGGGAAAGGGCTCCTTCAAAGAAGGACTTGGGCATCTTGGGGGTGGGGCAGGAGTAGCAGGGACTGGGGTTGTGGGGGCACCAGAGAAGCAGCAAGTCCAGACACCTCTGCCCATTGCAGCTTCAGTGATGCTCTGATCCGATTCTCCCGAGACCACCTCAGGGGGGAAGCAATGGCCCCTCATTATGTGTCCTACCTACTGGCTGCCCTCAACCATCAATCAGCACTCAGGTACCAGAAGGCCCCCACAGAACCCCACCTTCACCAACCCCCTACTGAGTGCCTATTCTGTGTGGACCCAGTCCAAGCTAGGTCCCTAGGGACTTTGGACTCACATAGCTCAGGGGTTTCCAGTCCTAGTTCTGCTAATTACTGGCTGGGTGAGTTGCCTCATCTCTCTGAATGTCACTTTTCTCATTAGTATCACATGGGTAATAATAGAGTGTTCTGAGAATTACATGAGATAAATGGATGTGAAGTACGTACCACAGCATCTGTCGCATAATGTCAATCATTCATTCATTCAACAAATATTTATCAAGGCCTTGCTCTGTGACAGGAAATGTCTGGGGTTCCAGCTGTGAACAAAACAGAAAAAGTTCTCTTCCTCTTAGGGGTTATGTTCATTGTAGTGGGGACGGGGAGGACACACACGTTCATTTTTACTCTCTCCTCTCTGGGATTAGCTCCCTCCCCTTACGGATGAGGAAACAGAAACTGAAAGAATGATTTGCTCTAGGTCACACCGGGAATTATAGGCAGGTCCTGCTGGGCTATGTCCCTTCTAGCTCTCCCAGCCTCAGACCTTCAAACGTACAGGGAGCCGCCCTTCTCCATCCCTCCGGCCACACACTTGTGCCACAAGGTGGCGCCCGAGCGGAGGGACCACAGAGGGCCACGCGGGCCTTGGCCTTGGTCCTGAAGCCGTGGTTTTGGTTGGTCCAGCTCTTCAGTGTCCGTCCTGCAGCAGGACTGGGTGGCCTCAGGGGCCTTGGCTTCGGTGGAAGCTGGGCTGGACGAGTTGCAGAGGAGGATCTGTCGTCTGGTGTTGGAGGCGCTGCTCGCGGAGCTCCAGGTGAGGCTTCCCTCCTGTCGGGATGGAGGTGGGAGGTGGAGACATTAGCCTACGTATGGGGGGCTCGGCGGGCAATGCCAGGTCTGGATCATTTCTCCAGCTCCGGCTCCGCCCCCCGTCCCCAGCCTCTGTTCGCAGCTCTGCCCTCGCGCCAGTGGCTGTCTAGCCCTGAGCTGCTGGACGGTGTGTGTGAGCGGACCGAGCGATTCTGCCGGGACTTCTGGCGCGTGCGGAGCCCCGCGGTTCAGGTGCGTCGGGGTCGGGGAAAGGCTGGGGCGCGGGCAGCGCGGATGGGAAAGGCGACCTGAAACCCCTGATCGCCTTCCCTGCAGTTGCTGCTGGCGGAGGCAGAGCGCGCCGTGGTGCTGCAGTACCTGCACGCGCTGATGCAGGGCCGCCTCGTGTGCCGCGGGCCCGACGAGAGGACCCAGGCGGCCGAGCGCCTGCGGCACGATGCTGCCCAGCTTCGCGAGCTTTTCCTCGGTTTGGTAAGAGCTCTTTGGACGGGCAGACGGGCACAGTCTCCGTGGTTGGGTGGGGGCCGGGGGCCGGCGCGATACCCGACCTCGACGTGCTCAGGGCCTGGAGGAGAGCGCTCACTGCGCGCCGGTGCTGCTGGCCCTGCGGGAGCTGCTGAACCTCCGCGACCCCATGCTGCTTGGCCTGGAGGTGGCGAGTCTGCGGCAGCAATTTCCCGACGTGAGGTGCGGGGACCGTGGCGGGGAGGGAGGAGAAGCCCGAGGGGGGCGGGGCGGGGCTGATGTGCCTGGGTGGTGCCCTGCAGCGAGGACCACGTCTCCGCCCTCTTGGACCTGCGCGGGGACGTGTCCCGAGAGCAGCGCCAGGCCGCCCTCAGCTCCCTGCAGGCGGGCCCGCCGCCCTCGCCCCCCGCGGGCCGCCGCGCACTCTTCAGCCTGGTGCTGGCGCCCGCGCCCGCGCCCGCGCTGTCCTCCTGCCTCACGTCGGGGTCCTGCGCCTGACGCCCGGCTGCCCGCAGAATAAAGCCACGGCTCCCGTACGCCTGAATCTGTGTGTGTTGGGGAAGGGGGAATGGAAGTGTAGGAGGCCCACGCACAGTGGCACGCCCACGGTACCCTGGCTCGGTCCTGGCACACGGGCTGCGACCTACCTATCCGGACACCGGCCCTCTTCGTGACTGCGTTTCAGAGGCCCTGGGCTCCTGCCCCGGAGCTCAGACTACGCCCCACATTCGCGCCGAGGCAGCGAGCTACTGTCTCGACCGCCCTAACTCCAGCCGCCCGCGGGGTCGCGCCTGAAGCCCCCAAACCCGCTTGGGCTTTGGGAAGGGGACGGGCCTAGGCCGGCGCCCCCGCCTGGGGGCGTGGCGTGTGACGGACCCGCCCCCTCAGCCCTGCCTGGTCCTGCCCCCAGTGGTCTCGGGGGCGCGCCGCCGCGGAGACTGACGCGGGTCTCCACGCCTTCGTGTGAGCGTGCGCGCGGCCGAGTGCGTGCGTCACCGGCGTCGGCTCCCGCGGGCTGGGCGGCCGGCGACCGGCGTTGCGGAGCGGGACGGCGGGCGGCAAGAAGAGGAGCGAACAGGTGGGGGCGCGGCACGAGGACAGAATTCCCCCAAAGGCCGAGAGAAGGCACGCGACGCGGCCCCTCCTGGTCTACCAGAGAACCCCACTCCATTGTCTCCTGACCCCACCCTCCATTGGGCACGCCCTTCGCTCTATCCCCCGCCGCTTATTGGCTGCAGATCACGCCCCTCCTCGATCTCTCGGTCCCCATTGGCTCTTCTTCCACGTTATCCTCTCCCAGCGTTTCTTATTGGCACAGGCCACACCCTCTCATTTGTCACCAGACCCCGCCTTTGGTAATTGGGGGCTCCTCCCCCATCCAGCCTTCATTCATTCGGCATCTAGTGCTGGGTGCCTGGAACATGGGGGTGAATCACCTGTGCTTGCCTTCGGGTTCAAGGGATGGTGGGGAGACATGGACTTAGGCTCCGACAGTGACAGCCTAGAGCGGTAAAGAAGCTGCCAAAGCAGTGGGACCCTCTAGGCGCCGGGAAGTCTTCCCGGAGGAGGTGAGGCCAAAGCCGAACCCTGAAGAATGGTTAAGAGTTTGCTCCAGGGAGACATTGTGAGGGCATCCTTGGCGGAAGGACCTGAGACATGAAAGAAACAGGCGTATTCTGGTAATTGCGAGGAGGTAGGTCGAACGAAAGAAGGGGAGATGGAGGGGACTGAGCCAGGTAGAGGCCTGAAAATCTGCAAGGAGTCCAGAAAAGTGTACAGTTAGTTGCGGTGAGTGAAGCCTGAGGCCTGAAACCTTTTCAAGGAGCTGATCATTAGGCAGGGTAGAGGAGAGTGGTGAAGATCAGGTCTAAACGGGGAAGCAAAGCTCAGGAAAGGAATGATTCTAGTTCTGATAAGGAGAAGGGCTTTTGGGTTCATTCATTTACTGAGCAACCGCTCTGGGTCAGGCACTATTGTGGGTTCTGGGAACACAGCTGTGAACACTGGAAAGGATAAAACAGATACTAACCATCAAATTTACTGTACAGGTATAGAGTGTACTGATGTGATGGTGATAACTGCTACAGGGGAGGGAAGATTGTGGTGGAGAGGGGAGAGAAGGTTTACTATTTTTTAGAGAGCGTGTTAGGGAGACTTTTCTAATAACATGGTATTTATGCAGAGATTTGAGGAAAGTGAGAGAGCAATCCATGCTATTATATGGGAGGAAAAACATTCCAGACAGAGGAGGACACATTCAGTTTGGTATGCCTGTTAAAAAATGTTGCATTGAAACTGGCAAGACTGGTCCAAACTGTAGGGAAGAAGTCTTGGCTCATGTATTTAAAACTATGAGAGTGGATGAGATCACCTAGGGAGTGAGCATAAATGGAGAAGAGGAGAGAAGTTCCCATAAACAAGTCCTGGGACATTACAGTGTCAAGAGGTCAGGAGGTGGGGATGACCAGCAAGGGAAACAAAGAAGGAGCAACCAGTGAGGTAGGAGGAGAACTAAGTTTGAGTGTTTGGAAAGTCAAGTGGAGACTATGCTTCCAGGTAAAGTGATTAACTGTGTCATGTGCTGCTGATGATCAATAATTAAGGTCATTGATGACCTTGATTAGATCAATTTTGATGGAGAGTAGGGGACAAAAGGCTAATTAGAGTGAATTTAAGAGAGAACAGGAAACAAGGAATTGGAGATGGGTATAGATGACTCTCGAGTTATTGTGCTGCAACAAGGAGCAGATGGAGATGCAGTGTGGCTGTAGCGTGGCTGTAGCTGAAAGAGTGTGGGTTCAAGTTTATTTTGTTTTTTAAGATGAAGAAATAACAGCATGTGTTTATGCTGATGGAAAGAATCCAGTAGAGAGGAGGAGACTGATGATGCAGCAGAGAGGGGAAATACTGGAATCGTGTCCCTGAGCAGGCAAGGGAGCTTGCAGGCTGGAGCCTCCAGTCAGTCTCTGGGGAGAGACTGGATTGGCCTGAGACCTGGCACAGAGTCAGGGGTGAGTGCCCTGTCATTGGCCTTGGGTGACCACTTGGAAGATGCCTCAGGTAGGGGACAGGCTTGGATTTGTTGAAGTTTCTCTCTGCTTCCCCAAACCAGGTTCTAATTTGGATTTGAACAGATGGCTCAAAGGACAGAGGGCATGGGGGGGGGGGCCTAGCGTAAGCAAGGGGTGTGCAGGCATTCAAATAGACTGAGGCCAAATGGTCAGGAGGATGTGGGTGGAGCCAGGTGGGAGGGGAGCGGTGGGACTGAGAGGATGCCATGGGTAGAAGGCAGCCTCAAAGACTCCTACCTATCATCCATCCTGGCAGCTAAGGCTGTACTGTGCCAGCTCCCAGACTAGGTCAGTGCTGGGCACAGAGATTAGAATCGTGAGTAGGGACTCAGTCCTTGCTCTCTGGAGCTGAGGGGATTCCAGTAACTAGGAATCATCTTCATCTAGGTGGGTCTATAAAACTCTTGCTTTCCCCCACCCCAGCCTGCTTGGGTGAGCCTGCTGGAGGGAACGGACACTGCAGCCACCCAGACCCCTGGCAGCAGACCCTGGGTCTACCAAGGGCCCAGCAAGGGCTGTGGGAGCACAGGGCCTGCTGGTCCTCTGGCTACACCCACTCATGCTGGTCTCCACATGCTCTTCTGTGTCCCCAGAGGTCGACAGAGTGGGGAGTTGGAGTGACCCAGCTGGATGTGACCCCCAAGACAGAATGGTGCTGGACTCGGGGGATCAGGTGTATGAGCGGGCACCCCCCAGCCCGCCTGCCAGTCCCCCATCTCTGCATCATAGGCTGAAGCCCTCAGACCGAGATGGGCCACCGCGGTACCCCTGGTCTCAGTCCCTGGCCTTGCCCCTGGCTTTGGCAGTCCCCTCAGTGCTACAGTCCAAGCCTGAGCGGCAACCCTTGTCAAAGCTGTGCTTGGGCCACCGTGGCCACATGCGTCGCAGTGAGAGCACCTACACTGTAAATATTACTGGCCAGCGAGGGTGTGGCACCCAGGGACAGGCTCCACCTGGACGAGGACGGAACCCAGGTGGGGGCAACCTGCGGTCTGCAGCCTCCCTGCCTCACATTGCTAAGACTCGAAGGGATGCAGGCCATGGTGCCAGCAAGAGCCCCTGCATGTTGGTGGCCCTGCGACCAACCAACATGGACCGTGAACGGGACAAGTTCTTCCAGTCCCATTACACCTACAACCCACAGTTCGAGTACCAGGAGCCCAGGCCCATGGCTGTGCTGGAGAAGTACTGTGAGGCCTCTGGACAGTTCATCCATCAGGTTAGTCCAGCCTGCCCACCTCGCCCTGTTCCTCACCACCCAAGGGACCTGTCCTAACCAGCTGCTATGGCCCTGTGTACAGGCAGTTGGCATCATTGAAGCTGTCCTGGAGAAGTTTGGCACCTATGAACACTTTGAGGCTGCCACTGGGGGCCAGCTGCTGACCAAGTGCCAGATTTGGTCCATTGTGCGCAAATACATGCAGAAGGAAGGCTGCGCTGGGGAGGTGAGCTTGCCCTACCTGCAGAGCCCCTCTTCTTCATGCCCCAAATCCAGCCGCCTAGTGGGCCGTCCCAGCCCCAGTGCCATGTCTGGCCAGCTGGTGACCCCAGACAAATCCCTGCCCCTGCCCAAGTAAGGTGGGAGCTGGCTCTGAGCAGGGGTCACGAAGGATGGGCGTCCTGGCCTAGTGTCCAGCCTGGCTGACCTGTGGCATCAGTAGGTCCATCTGTACACTGGTCCCAGGGCTGGTTCAGAGCGTTGGCTCAGGGCATTGCCATCTGCAGGTTGTGGTGCAGCTGAGTGAGGACCTGCTGTCCCAGGCAGTGATGATGGTGGAGAACAGCCGCCCCACGTTGGCCATCAACCTGACTGGAGCCCGCCAGTATTGGTTGGAGGGCATGCTGCGGCACGAGATAGGTCAGGGTGTGGGCAGGTGGGTGGGTGGGAAGGGATGAGACGGGGCTGGGAGCTGGAGGGGTCAGTGAGGGGCCCCAGTAACCCCCTTTTGTTTCTCCCCCTTCCCTCCGGAGGACGGGCCCTTTCCCTTCGTGAGCTGCTACCTCCTCCCTCTCGCTCACAGAGGTAGGCCAGAACATGTTTGCCCACTCTGGCTCACCCTCATCTCTTGCTCCTGTAGAGTATCTTTTTCTCTCCCCACTCCCTCTCTTATTTCCCCTGACAGTGGGGGCAAGGCTGGGAGGCCCCAACAGGCCAGAGGGAGAGAGCCCTGAGGGTCCCACCAGGTTGGCCAACATGCGGGCCCTGCAGGGTGGGTGGAAGGCCAAAATCCTGGGAACGGACTTGGCCTGAGGACGCACAGCGCCTGCTTTAGGAGGGGCCAGGCCAGGCTGGGAAGGAGGGCACTAGACATTAATCGCTATTCCTTTCCATCTGTCCCTCCTCTTCAAGAATCCTGTTGCTTTGGGCAAGGTGGTTTTTGCTGGGGCATCAGCGTGACTGTCAAAATGATATAGGCACTCAGGATGTTGGGACGGGGTGGTGTGTGTGTTCCTTGTCTCCGGGAGGGCTGGGGCAGTGTAAGTTTGGAAGAGTTTGTGTGTGTGTGTTGCAGGGGACCTGGACGGGTGGATTCATGCATGTGAACCTCTTATGGGTACTTGGTTCACCTGAGGAGGGTCTTAGCGCTGCCTGGGGTTGGTCTGGAGCTGGGGGAGAACTCGTGTGAGAGCCTGAGTTTGGGGCCTTGAGGATACAAGAGTCACAGGTAGAAGTCCAGCCAGAAGTCTGGCCGGTTGGAGCAGGGCACAGGCTGTGCCAGGCAGATGGGTCCCCCGGTTGCCCCCCCCAGCGCCGCCTCCCTTCCCGCAGGCACCCACTACCTGCGGGGCGTGAACAACGCGCAGCAGCCGTGGCACAGCGCCGAGGGCCGGCTGCGGTACGGGCTGCGGCCAGCTAACCCCACGGAGGAGGGCCTGGCCAGCCTGCACAGCGTGCTGTTCCGCAAGCAGCCGTTCCTGTGGCGCGCCGCGCTCCTCTACTACACCATCCACCGCGCTGCGCGCATGTCCTTCCGGCAGCTCTTCCAGGACCTGTCGCGCTACGTGCAGGACGCGGACGTGCGCTGGGAGTACTGCGTGCGCGCCAAGCGCGGCCAGACAGACACCTCGAAGCCGGGTGGGCGCCCGCGAGGGGAGGGAGCCCTGGGCAGGGCGGGGGCGGGGCGGGGGGTGGGGCTTCCTGGCGGCCCCGGGCTCACAGCCCTCCCGTGCTCCCAGGCTGCTTCAGCAAGGACCAGGTGTACCTGGACGGCATCGTGCGCATTCTGCGACACCGCCAGACCATCGATTTCCCGCTGCTGACCTCACTGGGCAAGGTGAGAGGCTGCAGACCTTCACAGGTCCCAGCCGGCTGTCCCCCTCGCCACGGTGTTCCCTGGGCCTCTGATTGGTGCTAGACTGAGGGCTGGGTGCCGGGCTTCTCTGGGTGGGGGGCAGTGCGGGTGGAGGTGAGCCCAGGAGATGAAATGAAGGTCTGGCAGCCAAAAGCAGGTGTTTAAACCAGCCTGCAGGTGTGTGTAGATACAGTATCTCAAGGGAGAATTGGGAAGGCCTGGGGAAGGAAGCTGGAGAAATGGCCAGGGTCCAAGTCCCCGGCACTGGCATTTGTGCCAGGCTGAGGAAAGAGGACCTCATCCGAAGCAATGGGGAATGGGAGGAGCTTTAAGCAGAGTAATGGCTGAGATGTTTGCTTTCAAAGGCTCTGGATGTTATGTGGGGGGTGGATTGGAGAGAGAGGCCTAGGGAAGGGGATGCAGGGGCAAGGGGAGGAGGCCTTTCTAATCACTCCTGCAAAATTGATGGTGGCCTGGCCCAACCAGGCAGTGGCCATGCATTTGGAGAGGAAGGGACCAGCTGGAGAGCACTTCAGACAGTGGAATCCTTTTAACTCAGTGACCACCCTGAGTGGGAGGCTGAGAGTCCAGGCCCCCCTCCCCAGAATATGACCTGGGTGACTGTGAAGAGGGTGTGGCTGGTATAAGCTGGCATCCAGGAGGTTACTGTTGGATACCCAGGGGACAGTGTTAAGGAGGCAGTTGTATAGGGATGTTTGGAGGTGAGGGGAGAGGCTGGGCTGGAGGGCGGAGTGGAGGTGCAGGACACAGATGAATAAAAGAAGGTGTTGAGAGAAAGAGCAAAGACCCAGGACTGAGCCTAGAGGTACGAAACATTGCTAGTGGGTCAGGAGGGGAGAGGAAGAAGTCCCAGGAGCAAAGGGCAGTGTGCCACAAACAGTGAGCTGGGACCAGTACCTGAATGCCAGGGGACTCTGCCTGCCCCTGAGGCCCAGCTCCCTCCCTGCAGGTGTCCTATGAAGATGTGGACCACCTGCGGCCCCATGGGGTGCTGGATAATACCCGGGTACCCCACTTCATGCAGGACTTGGCACGCTACCGGCAGCAGCTGGAGCACATCATGGCCACCAACCGGCTAGATGAGGAGGAGCTGGGCCGCCTGCTGCCTGACTGATGTCGGTTGAGGGCTGCAGATCAGCCCCCAGAACATGAAGCTGTCTGCTCTGTGCTTCCACGGCCTGGGTGTTTCTTAGGGGCATTGTGAGGGGAGGAGCATTCCATGAGGAGGAGTGGCAACATCAGAGGGTTCCTTTCCCTTGCTAGCCTCCCTGGGGCCTGGGGCCCAGCATGTCAGGCAAACTGAGTGGCCTTTCTGCCTCCAGCTCTCTGTTGAACAGAGGGCCTGGGGGCAGGAGGGGAGCTGAGCATCGATGGGGATGGGGGGAGGTTTGGGAGTAGAAATTGTTCTTGCATGGAATGGTTTTGGGTATCCAGGTCCTCCAGTCTCTCCCTTCACCCACCTGGCCCCTTGGTGCTCCTTCAGCATGTGTGCTATCTACCTCTCACTGGGTCCTGGTGGGGGTTGGGATCCCTTCTCCTGGAGTGATTGCCTGAGCCTGGGGGTCCTGGCTTCACGCAGGCTCAAGGGGCTGGGGTCCTGGTAGTAGAGGCCTAGCTTGGCTGGGGTGTTGGGGTGCGCTTTCCAGCATTTTGCCTCTCCCCCCAAATACGGTCATGTATTTATTCCCTATGTATGTGCTCTACTTCCTGAGGCTGGGAGGCAGCAGCTCCTAAAGGTTTGATGGCGGGAACAGGACATTCTTGGAAGGCACCAATTTTCCTAGACCCACTTTCATTTTATACACACACACACACAGTACCAGCCTCGTGAGTGAAGTCCAAGAGCTCACCTGGCCCTACCCCCATGCCCTCCACTGGCCTCTGCTGTTCTTTTCTTCACCCACAAGCTCACAGCTGGTCTCTGGCAGAGGTTGGCATGGCCTGGGAACAGCCACAATCGAGCCTGAGGGGCAGGCCCCCAAGGCCCGAGGCCCTCCTGGTCCAGGAGAGGTGCAGAGGTGGTTGTTGCTTCCAGTTTCACTTCAGACTCAGCTGTGCCAGTGACTCAGTGCCATTCCTACCCTTGGCCTTAGTTTTCCCATCTGTAAAACTCAGAAATTCGGTTGGAAAGTCTTTATTCAGTTAGCCAGCGAGTATGTACAGAGCACCTTCTGTGTGCTAGTTACTAACTAGTCAGAACCTTCACTGAGCTCCCAGTCCAGAGAGAAGCCAGACAATTAAAACAGTAATGACGGTGATGAGTGTGGCCTCTGTTTATTACCCAAGGTCCCTTCCCATTCTCCTTTTCTAATCTCATTTCCCAAGGCTGTGAGCTCTAGGCCCTCCCTAAGTGGAGAAAAGCCAGCCTTCCCTTGCTCTGTGCATCAAGTCCAGGGGCTTCGGTGGAGTTGGGCAGGTGCCTACACAGGCCCCCAGATGGCTCATAAGGGGAAAGGGCAGTGTAGCAGGCGTCAGGCTCTTGTCCTATTAGGGGCCTTGTTCTGGGGTCTCCAGGGTGCAGCTTGGGCTACTGGGGGAAATAGGGCCGAGGACTGGGCGGTGCGTGTTGGGGAGGCACAGGGCTGCCCAGGTCACGGGGACTCAGAGGCACACGCGCAACCTAAGTTCCTGCGCAAACAGCCAGAATCGTGGAGAGAGCCCAGGCCCAGCCCGACCCTCCGGAGTTTATTCACTTCCAGCGGTACTGGGCTGGACCAAGCCTCCGTGGCATCCCATCCAACTCTGACAGGATCCCAGGTCCTATCCAGCTTGGGCAGGGAACAGCCGGTCAGCGCTCCGGCCTTCAGGAATCTAGAGATGATGAGGACGGTGGTCAGTGAGGTGGAGCCCACCCTCCGCTTCCCAGGCCATGCCCTCCCGCCAAACCGGCATGGGAGTTGGCCAGGCTCACACCTTCGGACTCGTCCCCCTCCTCGAAGTCAGGCTCGGGCTCCGGCTCCGGCTCAGGTTCTGCTTCTGCCTCCGGCTCTGGTTCCGGATCCATCTGGGGCTCCAGCTCCGGCTCAGCCCCTTCAGAGGCCTCAGCTTCCGGCTCTGGCTCTGGCTCCTCTGGGGTCCCGGATTGCACCGCCTCGGAGCCCTCAGGGCCCCCGGCCTCTTCGGTGTCTGAAGCTCCGGGCAGCCCAGGGCATGCGGTCCCCCAGCCAGGTGCCTCAGGCGTCCAATGGCCTGGGCACGGAGGGTCATAGCTACGGTCCCGGTAGCCTGGGGAGGAAGTGGGAGAGACTCAGGCTCAACTTACCCATCTGCGGTTTTCTCCGCACACACCGGCCTAGCTGTCGGGAAGACGACCACGCCTCCCTCCACTTAGCTTTTGCTCCGCCCCAGGCACGCCCCGCTCCCACCTAGGCCCCGCCTCGTCCCGCCCGCGCTCACCCGGGCCCACGTGCTGCCAGTCCCAGGCGGGGTCCGGCGCGCGCACGGTATGCTGAGCACAGCGCAGCAGCTCCTGGCAAGCGGCCTCGCCCTTGCTCTGCACCAGCAGCAGCAGGCGGCGCACCCTGCGCTCGGCATCAGGCAGTGCATCCAACGCCTCATACTCGGGCCCGGTGAGCACGCCCCGCGCCAGCAGCGCGTCCAGCAGCAGCCCCGAGTCCGCCTGCAGCGTCTCCACTAGGCGCTTCCGCTCGCGGTCGATTGTCTCTGACGGCCGCTCCTGCGCGTTGCCCATGGTCAGAGCTGCACGGGGGAGGGGGAGAGAAGTAGCAGGGGGCTGGAGCCACTCTCTCCCAGGGCCCCAGTGAACACGCGTGGCTGGTCTAAGTTCACCTTGACCCCAGTGGCCAGTCGGCTCCGCAGCACAGGACCCGGAGGCCTCCGCACGGAACTGCTGTCCTCTTGCCGCTCCGGCCGCTTCTGTCCTGTCTCCTCAGGCTCCTCCTCCTGTCCCTAAACGTCAGCTGTGGCTCTCCCCTACGCGCTCCTAGGACTCCCATCTACTCTCGGAGTGCTCTCCCCAGCCAGGACCTCCTCCTGAGCCCCAGCCACCGGCAAATCCCGAGACCGGTTCAGACCCAGTTTATCCAAACTAACCTCCCGAGACCGGTTCAGACCCAGTTTATCCAAACTAACCACTTTTTCTTCCCCAAATCTGCTTCCTTAGCCCCACCATGCAAAAAAACCTAGGATTAATCCTGATACCCCCACCCAGCTTGCAGTCAAGTCCTTTGCAGTCTGTCTGCTGAGTGTTTCTCTCACCGTCCTCATCACTGACTTTAATCTTTTACCTCCTGCCTGGACCCTGCACAGCCCCAGATCAGGGCTTCCTGCCACCACACTCTGCCCTCTAGTCCCCCCTGCACCCAAAGCGCAGCACTGAGAGTCTTCCCCTGCTTCTCTCTCCTTACCCTAACCCTGAGGTCCAACCTTCCACTACAAGCCCCAGCCCTGCACCTCTTACCAACATCAGTACTATGTTGCAACCCCAGAGTGGTCTCATGGCTTTTCCTGGTTCCATGATACCTCAGCAGAGATACCCGAATCTTTTTGAATCCTAGCTCTGACCAAGGTCTCCTGACATCACCTGAGACCCAGCTGCAACCCTGTTGACCTGGGGATGACTTAACAGCCATCTCTTGCTTTATCTTGAAGTACTCCGGGTCCAGCTCATAAAAACTACCAACAAACGTTTGCCAATCTTTTTTCTGTTTTTGTTGTTGTTGTTGTTAATCAAGAAAAGGAATTTATTTGTTACATTTATGGAAGCTGAGAAGTCTCAGGTTGAGGGATCACATCTGGTGAGAGCCTCCTTGCTGCTGGGGACTCCCTGCAGAGTTCCCCAATGCAGCATTGAGCATCACCTGATCTACTGTTTTTCCTCCATTAATTTCCCCATTTTGAGAGACTGTCTTCACCAAACAGCACTATTAGGTCGAATATAATCTGCTTTGTCCATTTATTACCAACCAAGGATCATGGCCCATCCCCTTGAGTGGCCTGACCAGCCGCAAGACCCCCAGCTTCAGGAGACAAAGAGGTCAGGCCTTGGACCACTCCCTCCCTCAGTACACTCCCCTGCCTCGGCCTTGTTCACACAGCATCCTCCCCCAGCCTCTTGCCTTTGGCCCCTCTACCTCCTAACCTGGCCCTAGGAGGTAGGCCTTCTCTGAGAGAGAGCATTTGGTCCTGGCCCCCATCCTGCCCCCTAGAGAACTCAGTACCCAGCCCCCCACCCCACCTTGTGTCACTTCACACTCCCAGCCCCTCCCCCCACATCGAAGTTTCAGCCCTTCTCCCAGGCCACTAATCAGAGATCAGGACTACCCTCTGCCCCTCCATCTCCCTTTGTGTCCCATCTGTGACAAGTACTGCTTCTCCACCTCTCAGTAAATCTCCATGAGCTCCTGCCTCTCAAGCCCACTGTTGTCATATATGTTCTGTAACAGTCCCTCTGAGTACCTCTCACTCCCGTCCCACCACCCACTGTGACATAGTGACTTTGACGACTCTCTGGAGTAGGATTTACTGTACTCATTTTACAGAAGAGGAGACAGGCTCAGACAGACCAAGTGGTAGACCTAGAATCTAGCTTGCTCCAGCCTGAACTGGAAGGGGGTCTCCTGTCTAGCAGAATTTCAGTCCTAACCACCTGTCTCTGCCCCGCCCCATGCCCACTGCCCATCGGAGAGAACCCAAACTATCTGGTCTGATAACTCCAGCCACCTCTCACCTCCCTGGATGGCCAGGCTCTCCCCCACTTCCCTCCACCACTCAGTGTGGTGAGAACTCCACGTGCCCCTGGCACCTCAGAGCCTTTGTTGATGCTGTTCCCTAAACCTGGAATACTCTTCCCCTGCCTCCACTGTGTGGACCCATCCTCCACAGTCAAATGTTCCCTTGTCCACACCAACGCCTAAGTGTCCGAAGGGCAGGTGGTTCCTTCTTCTGTGCACCCCAGTGAACAACATACACCCTCACTACTGTGTTACCTGACATCACTGCACTGTGTATGCGGACCCTCGTCCGCCAAAGAGTGTCCCTCCAGTCATGGGGCACAGGAAGAGAGAGGGGATAGCACCTACTATGGACAGACGCAGAGGGAAAAGGCATAGATTGGATTGGCCCCTCCTTCTCCCTCACTCCTGCCATTACCCCAATCCTGTCTGGCGGGTAGAGACCCCGGCTGGCCAGGGCCTTCCCTTTGAGGCTCTCATAGCACTAAAATGAACACCGAACTTATGTCGCGGCCAGTCCTTCAAGGGTCACAGGCCAGATTCTTCCAAGAGAGCCAGGTGGCGAGGCGTGGAGCCGAGTCCCGGCCCCCCCATCCCCACCTGTCTGCGCGGGCTCTCGGGGAGCGAGGGCTGTGGGAAACTGCGGGAGCCTTTGCCCGTGTGCGACTGCCCGGCCACCCTCCCCTCCCCTCCACCCGGTCCCAGAGCTTGAGAGTCCTGCGGAAGGGCGGGGCTCACAGACCTCGAAGCTCGGCTGCTGGTGGCGGGGCGCTGATTCTGCCCAATCTCGGTTTCCTTTCCCTCCCCCAGTCGGGCGGAGTGGGGCTCCAGGTTCGGCCCGTTTCACGGGTCGAGCCTCGGTGGGGCGGGAGATGACGGTGCAGAAAGGGCTGGGCATGGTGGGGGTGGATGCAGCAGCTGCGACAGGGGCGGGGCGGCCAGGGCTGCCGGGAATGGGGGTGGGGTGGGGTGGGGTTCTTCCCGGGGCATTGGGAGCCAGGCCACTGAGGCCGCACGCTGGCTGGGAACGAGCACGTAGGCCGCTTCCCTCCGCACCAGGGTTGCACCCAGCGATGAGTCAGGGAGGGGGCAGTCTGGCCTGCGGCCCCACACGTTCAGCACCCACTCTGGGCCTGCCAATTCCCAGTCGCTTTACATCTGTCCTCTGGTCGACCCCTCCTCTTTGCCTGTCACAGATGAGGCTCAGAGAAAGGAAGCCACTTACCCAGGATCACAGAGCGCATGAATTGCGGAGCTGCGTGTGACCCAGAGGCGCCCGCTTCCCAGAGATTGCAATGGCCACTCTCCGGCGCTAGATCTGGGCCTCAGCTGGAGAGCTAGGCACCAGCTTCCCAAGCACCTCCACTCTCTAGTGGTCTTCCATTAAAGCCCTAGAATCTGGACGCTTCTACAAATGCAAAATCGCCCCCCACCCATGACTCCTGTGATGCCTGGTCGATAAAGAAAAGAGACCAGAAACACAGAAAAAAATGCAGTTTATGTGCAGGGCTCGTCGGGGTAAAGGAGAGAGGCTTTTGAGTCGTGGGGGCTTCGCTCACCCCCCGCCAGGGGGCGCCAGGAAGCCAAGAAGAGTGTGCGCCGCGGACTGGTTCCTCTGCTGGGCTGGCTTCAGAGGCCTGCGGTCTCAGGGGGAGGGACTGGCCGGCGGGCCCAAGTAGGAGGCCCGGCTCTCAGGGGCGCTGTAAATGGTTAAAGCCCCAGGCAGGCCCAGGGCTGGACCTCCCAAAGCAGCCTGGACATCCAGCAGGAGTGGGGCCCCGAGCGTGGGGTCCTTCCCTAGGAGAAATGCGGCTGTGCTCAGCAGAGAGGAAAGGGTCCCCCTCCTTTCTTTAGGGAAGGAGAGCCCTGCCCGCCTGCCTTCTGCTAAGGTTGAAACATCCATTCCATTCTCAACCTCCCCACTCTCAGCCAATGGTGAGAGGATGGGTGGCTCAAAGTAGCATTCTGCAGGGCAGTGAACTCAGGGGATGTCGCTGCAAAACACAAGCTGCCCAGCCCACACAATCAAGGTAGCTCAGTCCAGTCCTGGCCTCCTCAATCACCACAACCATTACCTGGGCCTGGAGAATTTAACCCCTTGACTGCCAGCTCAGGCTCACCCCTCTCGGGAACCAAGGGCTGCATCTGCGTGAGAGAACCCCAGGAAGCAGCTGGGGAGGGGGCCAAGGAGCTGAGAGGATCACTGGGGCGGTCCTCAGACATGGCCCTGGCTCACAGAGAACAGCCATGGACTAAAGGCTTGGTTCGGCAACCCCAGGCCCTGCCCTCCTCCACCCTCTTCTTACCAGGGACAGCTCCATGTCCAAGTCCATCAGGGTCCATTCTCGCCCTTGCAGGCTGGGGCCCAGCACCTGAGGGGAGCTCACGGTCAGTGGTGCCCTCCACAGGCTGCAGGGACAGCTGGACCCAACCAGGTGTCCTGCCCCTGCCCCAGTGGAAGGGGTACTTACATCCAGGGGCCCTGCAGGCTCCACACTGTCTGGCGGGGGCCGAAGCAGCAGTGGAGGCAGCAAACTGTCTGGGCTTCGGTCCCCCCTCTCCAGGCCCAGAGGCCCCCTGTGTACAGAGAGCTGCTGTTGGCCTGCAGTGCCGATCCTACATGAGGTTTCCAAGGAACCGGAATGTATCAGCATTGAAATCCCCCAACATTTAGCAAGTGTTAGGAGAGGACCTCCCCACCTCCATAAGGGACACTTAGAGAGTGCCCTTGCTTCCTAGCTGGGACCTGAGATTTGGGTTGTGGAGCTGGGGTCTTGGGACATGCCTCCTCCCTATGTAAGTGTCAAGATCAGTGGTTCTTAAACCATTGTGTACTTTACAACCATCCCAGGGAACCCATTTGTAAAATGTACATTCCTGAGCCTTCCCAGAGATGCTGACCTGACTGGGACTTTCCAGGGGACTCTGACCCTGGTGCTCCTTAGAGCACATGCTGAGATCAGATCAGTGTCACAGACTCAAGTACCCAATGTCCCCCTCAGCCACCATGGGGCAGACACAGCTAGGAAGTGTTGTGGGCTGGCAAGTACTGGTCTATCTGCGAAAGTGGCCCATAGGGTTCACGGTCAGGAAAGGGCTCTGCTCACCTGTCAGCTATCTCCCTGGGGTCCCTTGGCTCAGGCTGTTGGGCACTCCTGGGCCCCTCGGGGCTGAAGCTCCCTTTCCCTTCCAGGATGGCCTGCACCACAGCCACGGGCAGCGGTGGGGGGGCTGTCACGCAGAAGTCACACTCGTTTGGGGCCAGGGCCAGCCCGGCCTCGCCATCCCCCCCTGGACTGGCCGGCTCTTCTTTGAGCAGTGCCAGGCCCTTCTCCCTGCACCAGAGAAAAGCTTCAACCAGACCCTGACACTGACTTCTCCCCCTACCCCCACAGCCATCTGGGCTGCCTGGCCCTCCCCAACAGGCTCCCCAGAGGGCAGCCCTTGTCCCCCTTACCTCCTGCCACCACTGGAGGGAGAAAGCCTGGTCCCTTCAGGGGATGGGGAGTCTTCTGGGATGTCAGAGATGATGGGGCCCCTGGCCCTGTGAGGGCTGAGGCCCAAGGTCGTCTCTGGGAGGGGCTGTAAGTAGAAGGCTAGGCCCAGCCCTTGGCCTCTAGGCACAGGGAAAGCCAGAACCCAACCCACACCCACCTGGACCAGGTCTAAGAGAGAAGGTTTGAGGGAGGAGGCTCAGTCCATGCTGGGGAGCCAGGGTCTGGCTGGGGGGAAGGCTGGCTTCCATCCTTCCTTCTTTTGGGGGAATGGGGAGAAGGGATAGGCTCTCCATAGGCCCAGCTATGCCCTGGAGAAGGGGTAAGAAAAACCTACCGACTGGATAAAGTAGGGGTCCTGCAGGAGGGCACCAGGTAGGGGGCAGGCATTGAATTTGGCAGGTGCTGGGCATGCACTCCCTTCATCCAGCATCAGGGACCTATGCAGGGTGACCAGGGCACAGGCAGGTTCAGCCCCCATACCCCTCAGCCTGCAATTCCCTCCCTCCCTCAGGCCCCAGCAGCCAAGTCAGCAGAGCTGAGGCCTGTTGCCAGGGCATCAGTCACATGCTGGAGGCGGAAGGGGCTCCCCCCAGAGATGGGGGCCCTTTGGGGGTAGAGAGGTGAGGGAGGGAGCATGGTTTGAGCCCCAGGCCCTCAGCTGTTGGGAAGTTTTGGGGGGAGGAGGGAGGAGCTGCTGGGGTGGGAATTTGGGGATAAGGTCCTAGAACAGGAGGATCTGGGAGTGGGGGTGCCTGGTGGTGGGCTTCAGGGGAGAGGAGAGCAGTCCTAGATGGAGTGAGGGAGCCTGCAGTGCAGGGAGAGGAATGAGGATTCCTGGTGAAGGAGTTTCTGGAGGAGAAGGGGTCCCTGCTGGGGGATCTCTCTGGGGGAGGGTCTGGGACGTGGGGAAGTGGGTGAGAGAACCCCTGTCTCACTCACAGCTTCCTCTTGGCTCCGGCACTGCTGGGCCCCGCCTGAAGTGGCCCAAAGAGACACTGGATCAGCTGAAGAGAAAGCAAAGGGTTAATTCATGCTTTGGGCCTTGCCTGCGCCCTAGCAAGGCACTTCCGGGTGGGTTGGGGGGCTCATTTTGGCGCTGAGGGCCTGGGCGGAGGGGCGGGGTGTGCAGAAGGGGGCCGTGGGGAGAAGCAAGCTGTGGGGGAGGAACACCTTGCCGATGATCCGGTGCTGCTGACCGTGGCTCTGCCGCAGAGTCACTACCTCCCGCCACAAGATCTCATTCTGCCTGGGGGAAGGGGGGGAGGGTGCTGAGGCATCTGAGAGTTCGCCCAGTCACCGTCCCCCACAGAATGCCGGGACACACGCGACCACCCCTGGATCATCCAACCTATAGAGACCAGGGTTCCACGGCGGCCCATTTGAATGGAGGCGCCGAGGCCTCAGGGCGGAAGGGGCTGCCCAGAACCGCCAGGCGGCCGGTTCTTCTCACCCCGACCCCCCGCCCCGCCTTCCCGTGCCCCTCGTACTGCCTGAGCTCCCGCAGCCGCGCCTCGGTGCTCTCCTGCACGCCCCGCAAAGCCTGCACCTCGCCCAGCAGCCGGCCCAGGTCCTCCGGGCGCCAGCGGCTGTCGTCGCCCCGCAGCGCGGGCACCTGCGGGCGGAAGGCACTGTCGGGACAGGGTCGCACAGAACAGGTCAGGCTGTCCCAACACCCCTGCTCGAGTTTGTTCCTTCCCGCAGGCCGCGCACACCTTGCGCCGCACGCGCTCCAGGAGCTGTTCGCGGCCGCGCACGAAGCTCGGGTGCTGGAACTCGACGTGGTCGCGCTCCGGCCTGAGCAGGCCGCCCTGCTCGATGCTCACCACCTTCCGAAAACCGTCTGGGGAGCGGGGCGTGGGGGCGTGAGTCGCCCCATCCCCAGCACCAGGTCACCCACACCCGCTCCCCGCCGGCCCTGAGGACTCACACATGTTGAGTTGGCGCACAAAGCTCGCCATGTTGCTGTGCTTGAAATACTGGGGCAGCACTTCCTTAGCGAAGCGGCTCTGATCGCTTACGAGGAAACTGGTCCCGCTCTACCGAGAATGCCGCCCGCCCACCGTGCAGGCGGAGACCAGACGCCGTGAGCGGTGTCCGCCCACGGCCAGGCCCGCGCTCTGGCGCGCGCACACACACTCACACTCACTCTGGGGGCCCGGCTTGTTGCTTATCTCCATATGGGACGAGGCCAGGCCAGAACCAGCTCTGAGGCCTAGCCTGGGGCGACCACAGTGAGTCCCTACCCCCAGCCGGACCCACACTCAACACTCGGTTCTCAGAAAGGAGGAGCAGAGGCCGACCCGGGTTCCAGCCCGGGACGAGTCCCAGACCCGCGATGAGACCCTGAGCTGGAGCCAAACCAGCCCTTTCCTTCTCCTGGCCTCTGTTTTCCGATCTGTGAGATGGGGTGGGGTGGGATCTCAATGGCCTTGAGGGTCCCTCAGGCTCTAGGCGTCCAGGGGGCTCCTAACCCTTCCTCAGCGGCAGAGGAAGTCGCCTCACCCCCATCTCAAACACCCCCTCCAAGGTAAACTACCCTGGATGGCTGGCTGCATGGGGGTGCCACAGCCCAGTCCCAAGTGGGGGTTGGGTGGGCATGGATGTTCACTGACGTGGAGGGACCCCGGGGAGGACCACTGGGGAGTCAAGGGGCCCCAGCCCTCACCGGGCTCCAGCGGATCAGGTGGTCGGTGCCTGGGTCGCCCACCAGCGCCCATAGCTTGCCGAGGAAGGCAGGCACGGGGCTGGGGCCTGGCTCCGTGGGCAGCGCGCCTGGCGCTTCCTGCATGGTGCAGTCTCGGCCCGGCTCAGCGCTGGGCCCGGCCGCTGCGGGCTGGTCAAAGCGGCGGAAACTGCTGCGTTTGCCGCCCGCTCGGCCCTACTCCGCCCCCCGGCGCCGGGTCAGGCGGGGGCCACGTGCGAATCCGCGGGGCGGGGCTCGGACAGTGGCCGTGGCACCAGCAGACAGAAAGGGCTGGCTGGATCCGATGTGTGCGGAGTGGAGGGGTGGGGTGTGGAGGGAGACCTGAGTTCGAGTCCCGCCCTTCTCAGTCCATTTCCTCCTTTGTTTTTCGGGAGAAATCGTCCGTGTGCACCCTGGTGTGGGCTGGGAAAATCCTAGAGGGCGATGGCCGTGGGCACAGTGAAGCCCCAGGTAGGGCGGGCAGATAGGATGGGGCGGGAGGGAAGCTTGCCCCCTTACCGCCGAACCCCGGAACGTAGTCTTTCCAAGGGTGGGGAGTGCCCCGCCCCTGAGCCCCGAAGCCTCATCGGTACAAAGGACCTTGAAGAGACCTTCCACCTCTGCCAGGATGACTCCTCTGACCTCTCTGTGTCCCCCGCTCTGCCCCTTCAGAACCGACCTCACTTTTCACAGGACACAGAGACACTGCAGAATTTGTTTATTTCACACTCACCCCTGATGCCCAGCCGGCACCTGTGCCCTCCCTGCCCCCGCGCCGGGCCGCGGAGCTGGCGCAGAGTCCGCTGAGTGGTGGGGGTGGGGGGAGCGCAGTACGGTCCGGGCGGTGATCGAGCAGGCGGGCGGGGGTCTGTAGAGGCTGCGAATATCCAGTGGACTCAGGGCGCCCGGAAGTGGTCCCGACGCCATCCCACAGTTCCCAATCCCGGAGAGGCACAGGAGCCAACAATCCCGAAGAAAGGGGCTAGCAGATGGGGCGGCCTCGGCACCCCCATCTCGCATCTCAGAGGCCTCACGTCTGCGGGGGAGGGGAGGGGCTGCCCGATCACGCCACGAGCGTGGGCCGCCAGGGATGGGGCTCGCGCGTCAGTTTGAGCGTGTAGGTGCGCAGGCGCGGGCAGTGCGCGCGGAAAGCGTCCCGCACCGAGGGTCTCACCACGCAGAAGCAGTGTACCTCACGCAGGCCCGCGCAGCGCGCCGCCAGCTCCTCCAGCGCGGCGTCCAGCTCCGCGGAAGCGGCGGCGCGCACCTCGAGAGCGCGCAGGGTTGTGGCATAGTGGCGCGCCGCGAAGCGAACTGGGCCTACGGTGTCGCCGGACACATTGAGGCGCAGCGCAGCCACCGGCACTGCTGGCTGCAGGACGCGCGTCACGCTTTCGTCTGGCAGCGCAGGCTCCAGCTCCAGCTCCACGGCCAGGCCAGGGTGGCGGCGGCGCAACTCGGTCCAGGCTTCGTTGGGCAGAGGGGACGCGCGTGCATCTTCAGGGCACGCGCACCTCAGGGCCAGGAGCACCAAAGGCGCGCGGTCTGGCGCGGCCAGCACCTCCAGGGCGGCGCGCGACATACTGGCTAGGTGCAGGCCGAGGGCGCGCAGGCGCGGGCAGGCCTCCAGTAGCTTGAGCACCGAGCCGGGTCCCACGCTGCCAACCAGCGTACCGTTGTCCAGAAAAAGGCTGTGGAGCTCAGGGCAGTTGCGAGCTGCCTGCAGCACCAGCGCGTCGTCCAGTGTGAAGGGCAAGCGCCGCAGGTCGAGGTGGCGCAGCTGGCGGGCTGCCCCGCAGACGGCATGCACAGCATCCAGGACGTCACGGCCGGCGTCGAAGAGCGGCTTTTCTCCGCGGCACTGCAGGCTCAGGCCTCGCAGACCCGGGGCACGGCTCGCCAGCGTCATCAGCAGCTCGGTGGCCGTCTGGCGACTTGCCTTCCTGGATGGTTCAAATTCCAGCCGCAGGTTGTGAACATGGTCCAGGCAGTCGGACATATGTGGCGGCAGCATATCTTCCCTCTCACAGTCGCAACTTGGGTTAGAGTAGGGTAAAAAAGGCATTGGCGGCCTCCCCGAAACCGGGAGAGAATCTTCTACCCACCTTCAGCTGGGGTTCCAGCTGCTATCCCACTTCCCTTCCAGCCTCCAGACCATGCCTGTTGCCCCAAGGCAGCTGCTGGTAGCGGGAGGGAACTCCCATCCTATCCCTTTGGAAGACTTCAGTTGAAATCCTGGCGTGGAAAGCCAATGATACTTTAGGAACTGGGCTTTCTCAGCGGTCTCTAACCAAGGACTCGAGGCGTGACCTCCCGACTGCTAGGTTCAAATTCCGCTTCTGCCACTCCCTAGCTTAGTGACCTGTGGGGGGTGATTAATCTCTCTGCCTCAGTTTCTTATCTGTGCAATAGAGATAATACTACCAACCACACAAGGTTTTTGTGAGGATTAGATGAGTTAGTAGAGGTAAGGCACTTAAAAACAATGGTTGGTACATAGTAGGTGGTCAATAAATGTGAGTAATTATGTTTTTTAATGTAGGAGAATCACTGAATCTCCCGAACCCCCAGCTCCACAGAGAGAGCAAGGAGGCGAGTGGAGGCAGGAGGCAAGGGGGAGGAGCAGGCTCACCTGATGTTGGTGTCCTGCCACACAGCGCTGCAGGTGGCAGCCGCGGCCCAGGCCCTGCAGACCCTGGCGGCAGCAGCACGGTCCCTCAGGGGCAGGTACTGAAAGATGAACACTAGCATCTCCTCTGGCAGTTGCCCTCTAGGCTCGGCCATAGCCCAGCTTGGGTGGGGGCTCCGAGGCTCCCAAGAGCTCTGGCCTGGAGAGAGAAGGTTGTCCCTGAGCTCAGGAAGGCCCAAAGTGTCGACGGAACACTGGAGCCTAGGTGTACAAATGTTTGTGTCCTAGGAGCTGCTACATTCGTTTATAGAGCCCACTGCAAAATGAAAATGTGGGGGGTCCCTCTTCACAACATTATTAAGAATTTCAAGACAGTGACAGCAGAGTTTTTAATCAAGTATGAAGCCATGCACGGGGCCCTAGCTGACTGCACAGGTCTCAGGCCCTGGATACCAAAGGGTTTCTGGTTCTCCTTTAAACTACTTTCTCATCTGTTGAGCGAATCCACATTTTATGCTCTGTTATAAGGAATGGCAACCACCGCCTATGTGGAAGGTTGCAAAAGTCTTCCCTGGGGAGGTTGGCAGGTGGCTGGGGAGGCCCTTGCTTGGGACAACGCCTCCACCCCGCAGCTCAAAGAGCCCATCTCCCACTATCTCTGCACATACACACTCAGAGCCTCCCAGCCAGGATCACTGAGCTGCTTCCTGCCCAACTTCAACCCTTTGGACTCCTAAAGGACTGGGCCCAAATCCGGAACTGAGAGCCTCTCAGATGGCGTGGGCCATCAGAAAACCCAGACATTTTTCACAGTACAGATTTCACGGCCCCACGTATTAAATCAGGCTCTCTGGAAAGTTTAAGGCCGAGGAATCTGCATTTCAGCAAGCTCCGGGTGACTCCACAGGCTCTAAGTTGAAAAACTCCATTCTAACTCCGCCAGTCACTAGAGAGTGATTGCAGGTTTAAAAAGGCAGTAGCGTTAGTGAAGAGTTAGTTGTCAGGGACCACGAGCCAATCAGGAAGCGGGGTGCAGGCGGGGCACGGCTGGATCCGCCCAGAGAGGGAAGGTTCCTTTCCTGCCTCCGCCTCACCGGGGGGGATATCCCAGGTGCTTCCTAAGACAGCCCCACAGGATGCGGAAAAGCCTGGGGTTCTGGGGTCTGACGGTTCTGGAGCCTGAGGGGCTCAAGGTTCAAGTTCTGACCCTGACCCTTGAGCAGCCCTGGCTCCCGCTGGGCAATTTATATCTGGCTGGAACTCTGCAGACCTACCCTGGAGCGCAGATTTTAGGGAGCGATGGGGTTCTGAGAAACTGTGCGTCCTCTTTGAAGCTGCCAATTTTGTTTTAAGATGCCCGAAGGTTTGCGTACACATTTCACGTCACTAGCCTGTTAATTTTCCCAAACTTCCAGGCTAACAGTCTCTCCTGGAATTTGTTCCACGTGTTTCCTGGGACTTCCGATACCCTCGGCCGAGCTGGTACCTCGGATCCACTGGCACCGGGTTTCGAGTGCCCAGGAGTAGCAGAGGTCAGAGATCCTCAAGCGGATCTCCAGGGAGCACCAGAAAATTCTGGTCTCCAGGGGGCGCCCCCTTGTTAACCCGTCCGTTCCCCGCCCGAGGAAGCCTGGCAGCTCTTACTCTGAGGCCCTCCGGCCTCTTAAGAACCCCAAGTCCTCACAGTCCCGTCCCGAGGGCAGTTGTTCCTGCCGTCTAACGTCGGGCGCCAGTGTCTTACCTGTTTCAGCGGACCAGGTGGGGTTTGCCCGGGGCTAGGGACTGGCCGCGGAGGGCAGGGGGGCGGGAAGGAGCCGCCAGGAGCCCGAGGGGCGGAACACGGCGGGGAAGGGGCGGCTCGGCCTGGGGCACCGCCCCGCGCTTCCGCGCACACCCGGAAGCGGCGCGAGTGGAGCGGCGCCTGGCCAGCGTGGGAACCCAGGCCTGGGCCGAGGCGGCCAGGTTAGTGCAGAGGGTGGGTGGGCTCCCAGGTGCAGGCAGGAGCGAAGGCGGATTCTGTCTCCCGAGAGTGGGGGAGACGCAGTTGTCACCCGTGGCTGCCCCAGCCAGCTGGCGGCAGCGGCCTATTGGGCTATTTCTGTGGGAGGCGGGTGTGGGTAGGGGACTCGACCCCCACAGGTTCCTTGTCCCAGCTAAGGGCTCTGGAGGCGGGGGATGGAGCCCTGCAGGTGAGAGGGCCGGGGGAGGGGGCGGCCAGGCTGGTTCTGAACCGTTCTGTGATTGGAGGAGACCCCCCGCCTGCCCTTGCCGATCGCACGTTCGAAACCTCAGCTTGAGGGTGGGCTAGTGGGACCCTGGGGAGCCCGAGAGCTCTGGAGCAGCGAGCGCGGCTGAGTAGGGGGACGCGCCAGGCTGGTCGCAGGGAGTGGCCAGCTTTGAGCCCTTGGGCCATTCCCGCAGGCCCAGCAGAGGTGGGGCTGCCACAGGACTGTTATGTGTTAGTGGGGCGTCGTGCCTGCCTGGTTCGCCCGCGCGGTAGGGGCAGATATTCTGAGGTCGGTACCCAAGTATCGCACATAGTCTCCGCCCACTAAGCGTTCTCTGGACCCAGTCTAGAAGCCTCAGCCTCTCCCGAAGAGGGTCGGACTCCAGGTGGGTGGGGCTCGGGGCTTCCCGAGGAGGCCCCCGTGGAAGGACACGTAGGAAGGAGTTGCCAGGGGAATGACGGGAGACTAGGGCCCCCTTAACTGAGCACTGGACCTCCAGCCCGGCAGACTTCCCCTATTTGTCACATACTAGTGTGATGGCGCAACCCCCATTTCCAGGGTGCCAGTACTCCCTGACCAGTCTGATGGGCAGACTCTGGTCCCATTCGGTCCCCACTTCTGTACCTTGGGGTGAGACCACATCCATCGGGTCATTACTCCCAAGTTGGGGGGCCAGGGGAGGTTCCCACTCTCTCCCCCAGGCCACTGTCCAAGGGCACCTGACTATTCTCACCTCCTTGGCTGGCTCACTACCACTCTTGGTTCTACTTGTCACCTGCAGAATTTCCCCCTTTTTTTTTTTTTTTTTGAGACAGAGTCTCACTGTGTTGCCCGGGCTAGAGTGCCATGGCGTCATCCTAGCTCACAACAACCTCACACTCCTGGGCTCAAGCGATCCTTCTGCCTCAGCCTCCTGAGTAGCTGGGACTACAGGCATGCGCCACCATGCCCGGCTAATTTTTTCTATATATTTTTAGTTGTCCAATTAATTTCTTTCTAATTTTAGTAGAGACAGGGTCTCGCTCTTGCTCAGGCTGGTCTCAAACTCCTGAGCTCAAACAGTCCGCCCGCCTCAGCCTCCCAGAGAGCTAGGATTACAACACCCCGTTTTTTTTTTAAAGAAAGACAAATTTATTTGCTTTGAAAATTTTTTTTGAGACAGAGTATCCAAAAAAAAAAAACAAAACAGTGCAGTGGCATCATCACAGTTCACTGCAACCTCGAACGCCTGGGCTCAAGTGATTCTCCTGCCTCAGCCTGCCGAGTGGCTGGGACTACAGGGGCACATCGCCATGCCTGGCTAAGTTTTCTACTTTTTGTAGAGACAGGGTCTTGCTCAGGCTAGTCTTGAACTCTAGACCTCAAGAGATCCTTCTGCCTCTCAGAGTGCTGGGATTACAGGCCTGAGGCACTGCACCTGGCCTAGGTCTAGGTTTTTGTCAGAAGATGGAGGGAAGAGATACTAGTGCCAAGGGACCCTGGCTCTATTCTGGACAGGGAAGGAATCTGTAGTAGAACAATTTGAGTTGGATAAGACAAGAGCCCAACTCCAAGAGCTTTATAACAAAAAGGAATGATTTAGTTCACATAACTGAAAAGTCCAGAGTACAATGGCTTTTAGGGACAGCCAGATCCAGGGCCATAGCGTGGTTAGGTGGGCACCGCTGTCTCTTGGCTCTGTTTCTTTCTATGTCTGTCTCATTCTCAGATTCTTCCCCAGCACTGGTAAAGGAGACCTACCCCTTCCCTCTATTTCAGCCCCAAGGGAAAAGAAATTAGTTTCTCTTTCCTATTGGTCCAGTCAGGGTTGCAGGCTTGATTCTCATTGGCCCAACTTGAACTAGTCATTGCAGAAGGGTGAATAGAATATACAGACTGGCCAAGCCTGGTACATATGCCCAGACCTGGAGCTAGGGAGTAGGGCACAGGCACACGGATTGAGAAAAGAGAGGAGGGAAGTCCCCAAAGGTACATCAAGGTTTTGGGGGAATCTGGATAGATGCAAATTACAAGTGTCCTTTGAATGAAGCCAGAAAGTTTAGTGGGAATGCAGGTGAGAGAACCTAATTGTGGGGCAGGGGCCCCACAGTGATACTGGGGGCTCAAGTTCAGGACATGGGTCTGGTTGGCTTTGGGGCATGGGCACCATCCAGAATGAAAATGTCTCCTGTCAGCTTTGGTAAGAGAGACACACTGGCCTGAAGAGGAGGCAGAGAGGACCCACTGCACGATCTACCTCTGCTTTCCCTCCACTGTGACCCTGGGCTCTTTCTCTGAGAAGGCAGTGGAGTGACAGTCCTCACTGCAAGTCTGGGGTAGGTGGGGCTCTGTGCAGAACTAGAAGCACAAGGGGCTGCCTGTGAGATGGTAAACTCTTGTCCCACGTGTGCCAGCCAGTTGAGCCTACCGTGGAAGGGACAGCTTAGCTACATGGGACTAGACAGTTGTCTCCAGGGCTGGGGGATGACCTGGATACCTGACTGTCTGCATCTCTAGGAGGTGAGATGGCGGCTGGGCAAAATGGGCATGAAGAGTGGGTGGGCAGCGCGTACCTGTTTGTGGAGTCCTCGCTGGACAAGGTGGTCCTGTCGGATGCCTACGCACACCCCCAGCAGAAAGTGGCAGTGTACAGGGCTCTGTGGACTGCATTGGCAGGTGCGTGGGTGGGTGGGCATGCGGACAGGAAGAGGTGACCTGGGGCCTTTTGTAGGCAGGGCTGGGACTGAGGGTCCAGGTCCTTGGTGAGCCTGGGCTTAGGGAAAACATTTGGTGGTGGTGGTGGGGGTGGGGCGGGGATGGGTGGGGAGGGGGCAGAAGACCCCAGCTGTGTAGGCTCTTTTTTCTCTGCTTATGGCATGTGTGAACTTGAGTGTAGACATGTGTTCCCATGTCTGTGTATGATCTACCTACTTGTGCACTAACGTCCCCCTGCTTGACGACTCCCCACCCCAGACCAGCAGGCTCACTCTACTAATTGTGTATCTTTCTCTCCTCTTTTCCTCTCTCACTGCAGCACTCCTTGTCCAAGACCCCTCCCCAGTTCCTACCCTACCAGGTCCCCCTTTCCCATCTCAGGGCAGAGGCCACAGGAGGCTGAAGCGGGTTGGGGGATCTGTTCCTGGCCCCAGAGCAGCGAGAGCCCCTCTCCTTCCTGGGTAACAGGAGCCGCACTTGGTGGAGGCCGAAGACTTGAGACCTCCTGCCTCTCCTCCGCCCTGCCGGCTGCCTGCCAGGCGGCTAGGCTGCCCAGGGCACACGCCCCTTTCTGTGCTGCTAAGCCCCTGCCCTTTGCCTTCTCTCATGTGGGGCGTCAGAGATGGGGCTAAGTGGCACCCACTCTGTCTTGGGGTGCACGCTGTGATAGGTCCTGGTCTTCTTTCTGGGTTGTTGCTGTTTGCATCCCAATTTTGTTTCCCAGCTGGGTACTCTAGAGTAATCCTGCATCCCAGGTCAGGGGATGGGGATGGGGGCTCGACCCTCCTCCGGCCGCTTGAGGAAGGGCCGCGCTTGGGGACCGCCCGGCCTGACTGCCCGCCTCTGCAGAGAGCGGTGGGAGCCCGGACGTGCTGCAGATACTCAAGATCCACCGCAGCGATCCGCAGCTGATTGTGCAGTTGCGATTCTGCGGGCGGCAGCCCTGCAGCCGCTTCCTCCGCGCCTACCGCGAGGGGGCGCTGCGGGCCGCGCTGCAGAGGGGCTTGGCGGCCGCGCTGGCCCAGCACCCGGTGCCGCTGCAACTGGAGCTGCGCGCCGGCGCCGAGCAGCTGGACGCTGTGCTGACCGATGAAGAGCGCTGCTTGAGTTACATCTTAGCCCAGAAGGTGCGGCCACCCTGGGGTCAGGAGGGGTAGGGCCGGGGTTCGCTGCGAAGGCCCCACTGACGGCACACCCCCTTCCCCTAGCCGGACCGCCTCCGGGACGAGGAGCTTGCTGAGCTGGAGGATGCATTCCGGAATCTGACGTGCGGCTCAGGCGGCCAGAGTGGCGACGTGGAGGTCGCTCAGGGCCCCTCGCAGTCCCCGGTCCCCTCTCTCTCGGAGAAGCCGCTGCCACCGTCTGGCCAGACTTTTCTGTTCCAGGGTCAGCCCGTAGGTGAGGCACCTGGCCGCGGAGAGGCAGGGGTACCGGGAGGTTGGAGCGAGGGCTGGGCGGGAATGGGAGGGTGCTGGCTCTGGGGTGCCCCGCGCTCACCTGCTTCCCCACTCCTTCCGCAGTGAACCGGCCGCTGAGCCTACAAGACCAGCAGACATTCGCGCGGTCCGTGGGCCTCAAATGGCGCAAGGTGGGACGCTCACTGCAGCGGGGCTGTCGCGCGCTGCGGGACCCGGCGCTGGACTCGCTGGCCTATGAGTACGAGCGCGACGGGCTGTACGAGCAGGCTTTCCAGCTGCTGCGGCGCTTCGTGCAGGCCGAGGGCCGCCGCGCCACGCTGCAGCGCCTGGTGGAGGCGCTCGAGGAGAATGAGCTCACTAGTCTGGCAGAGGACTTGCTGGGCCTGGCTGGTCCGGATGGCGGCCTGGCCTAGGCCAGGTGCCCAGCCAGGGTTTGGAGCACCCGGATGACACTAGGGTCCCTTCTGCTGCTATTGCTGGCCCCCTGTCCATGCACGGGACTCCGAGACCACCCTTACAATCCCACTCGCCTATCTGCTGGAGCTGTTGGGGCAGAATTGACTGCTTTCCCCGGGAGCCAGAAAGCACCCACCAAGCCCGCTGGGGGTGCACCACTGGGGATTCTGCCCCAGATACTTTGCTGGAGACATCGTGTAGGTGACCTGCTGGGGAGGTTAGCCTCACCTTCTCCCACCCTAGGAGAGGGAATTGGGGCTGGAGCTGCACTTACCTTTTCACTTATTAAGCGCCTGGCTCTTCAGTGACCTAGGCATCATCCTGGGTGCTGCAAATGTTGTCGTGAGCAAGATAAACAAATCCTGTCCGCCCCCAGCTCACACACAGTGTAGGACCCCGAATATTAAGTAATGGAAATAAAGCGTAACCCCTTTTTTGATGTGAGGAATACCAGGAGTTGTGGGAGCACAGAGGAGGTGCCTAACCCAGACTGGGGGTTGGGCTTCCCAGAGAGATGAGTGTGTGTTTGTGGGGGTGAAGGGGTGCTGAGAGAAGGGCTGTGTTCTGGGACAGCCAGCCTCAGGTGAGGTCTTGAGACAGGTGAGAGGGAGGGATGTTAGAACACGAAGTTTGGAGCAGCTGGATCTGGGGTGGGTGGATTGCGAAGAGGCCAGTTGCTGAGGCAGATACGTGAGGGCTCGTAAGCCATTTTACAGAATGTGGATTTTATTTTTATTTTATTCATTTATTTTTAGAGACAGAATATCACTTTTTCACCCAGGCTGGAGTGCAGTGGTGAAATCATAGCTCATTGCAATCTCCAGCTACTCAGCTCAAGGGATCCTCCTGCCTCAGCCCCCCAAGTAGCTAGGATCACAGGTGCATGCCACAATGCCTGGCTAATTACTATTATTGTTATTTTATTTTTTGCAGAGATGGGGTCTCCCTCTGTTGCCCAGTCTCAAACTCCTGGGCTCCAGTGATCCTCCTACCTCAGCCTCCCAAAGTGCTGGGATTACAGGTGTGAGCCACTGTACCCAGAGTGTGTGGATTTCTTAACAAGGCCAGGGAGAGAAGCCTTCAAAGGGTTTCAGGAGTTAAGACTGGGAGGCTGGTGAGGAGGGAGGAAGGGAGAGAGAGGGAAAAGAGGAGAGGAGAGATGGTGGCCCAGGCTGGGACAGTGGCAGCAGAAATGGAGGAAGGTGGCTGAACACCAAGAACTGTGGGGAGGAAGAATAACAGATCTGGTGACACTGATGAGCAATGGGGTGAGAGAGGACCCCAAGTTTCTGTCTTTGTTGGTTGGATGGAGGGTGGGACTGCCTGCTGGATGGGTGCCCTGGGGAAAGCTAAGTACTTGCTCTGTTTGGGACAAGTGGGCACGATGTTCCTGTGGGACATCCAGGGAGAGAGCATGAGGGCAGCTGGATCTGTAGTTCTGAGTTCAGGAGAAGGGTCAAAGCAACAGATTCATGAATGGACAGGTGGGAGTGGGTGGGGTGCCCGCCTCCCAGAGAGGTCCTGAGTACACCAAGCAGAAAAGGGACAGCCCATAGAGTAAGGAGGAAAACCAGGAGATTTGGAAGCCAGGGGAATACCCACCTGCTATAATGGAGGCTGCAGATCAGTCAAGACTGAGGAGTGTGCGCTGGATTCTGTTAAAAGGAGGTTGCCAGGCACGGGCTCTTCCTGGGGCATGATAGAGACAGCCCAAAGCTGTACCCCAGGAGAGAGTGGGAGGTGAGGCAGTGGAAAAGGCCAGAGTAGAGGACTCCTGACTAGTCTGTGGCCAGGAAAGAGTGAGGCTCAGGATGGAGGGTTGGTGTTTTAAGGGAGAATGTTGGTGGGAAGATGCTGTCAAAAGGTACAGACACAGCCATTGGAAAGTGGATGGTCCTGGGTAGGATTGGCATTGTCTCTAGCAGCCTGTTCTCAGAGACTCTGGTTGGAGGCTGTCTACCCCCCAGGCTCCATTCATGACATGGGCTGGGACCCAGAGACCCTGAGTTTGCAGAAAAGAGCACTAGCAGCAGACCTGGGCAAGGACTCAGCCCTCAATCTCAGAGCACCTCTCTGCCCACCTGGATCCCAGATCAAACCCTTAGTGAAGGCCTACTCCAGGAGGCTCCCCAAGCTGTGCCCATCCCTGCCAGCCCACTCTGGCCTGCAGTGGTACAGGCATGGTCATTTCTACCTGTGGGAAGCTCTGCTGGGGACCAGGGGACTCTGAACTGCACCTAGGCTCAGGCCCATCAGCCCCCGTGCTTGCCTGTGAAATGAAAGCAGGGTGGGTCGGCCCCCTGTCCTGTATCCCAGGGGATGGATGACAGGGGGAAGGAAGGACAGAGAAAAGAATCCTGGACTGAATTCCAGAAGACCTGGGGGCAGTCCTTTCTGCCTGAGATCCTGGGCAAGTTACTTACCTTGCTGAGGAGCAGTGTCCCCATCCGGCCATGAGCAATCACAGCTGCTGGCAGGGTTGTGAGGATGAGCTGCTTTGTCCGTGTCCGTGTCCGTGTGTGCTTACTAGGGGATGGGGTGGGGGGCAGGGGATGGCAGAGCAAGGAGTAAGGAGGCAGCCACGTGTCCCAGGGCAGTTTATAATCCCTGCCTGGTGGAACCAGGGCTGTCGAGGAGAGGCGCTCAGAAAGACAGGAGGGGATAGTGGCTAGGTCGCTGCTGAAAACGCTCGATCCCAGGAATTTGGGACTGGTTGGCCCGGAGGCTCCTGGCAGCCCAGCCCCGCCCCACTCCGAAGAGGCGGCGGGGTAGGGGGCAACTAGAAGAGTTGCGGCTTCTTCCAATCCCCGGAAAGGCGGATTTGGGGAGTCTGAGCCAGCACCGAGACCAGGCCTTCCCAGCGAGAGTTGTCCGTGAGGAGGATCCCTCTCCGGGATTAGACCCACTTGGAGACCGCGCTCCCGGCGCCGGCGCAGGGGCGGAGCTGAGCTCCAGATGTCCGGGCGCGCACAGCTGGAGGGTCACGTGACACGGCCCCGGTCCCCCTTCCTGCCAACGCTGCATTTGGCCCAGGCCCCGTCCATGGCCGCCCTTGGGACCCTGCGTTGAGCCCCGGAGGCCCCGGCGTCCGGGGCTGCGCCGCTCCCGAGGGCCGAGCGTGAGTCGGGAGCCCCGGGGACCGACGTTGAGGGGGTGGCAGGGGACAAGTAGAAGAGATTTGGCCTCAGAGCGGGGGAGGCGGGCGGGGGTGAGGCCTAGGCTCCGCGGCTTCTGCCCGGCCTTGGGGCACCGTCCTGGGCCGGGGCTGAGGATGGGGGCAGTTGGCTACAAGGGGGAAATTCTTGTGCCTTCAGGCTGCCGGTCCTGGCCGGTGCGTCAGGGCCCCAAGCAGGACGACGACGCGAGAGGGATAAAGGCCGGTAGCTGGAGACCCCGGGGGCGTGGCCGCCCGCCCCTTCTCTCAGGAAGGGCTGGGCTGGGAGCCACCGCCCGCCGCCCGTTGCCGCCTCGGGAGCCCCTGCGACCGCTTCGAAGGGAGGGCGGGCGCCGGCCACGCGGACATGAGGAGGAGGCTGCGCCTACGGCGGGACGCGTCGCTCACGCTGCTCCTTGGCACTGCCCTTGGCCTCCTACTCTATGCGCAGCGCGACGGCGGGGCCCCGACAAGCGCGCCGCAAGCGCGAGGGAGGGAGGCACCAAGGCCCACCTTGGGGTCCCGCACGTTCCAGGTACCGGACGCGGACGCGGCACCCCCGGCCTACGAAGGGGACACGCCGGCGCCGCCCACGCCCACGGGACCCTTTGACTTCCGCAGCTACTTGCGCGCCAAGGACCAGCGGCGCTTTCCGCTGCTCATTAACCAGCCGCACAAGTGCCGCGGCGACGGCGGACAGGGCGGCCGGCCAGACCTGCTCATCGCTGTCAAGTCGGTGGCAGCAGACTTCGAGCGGCGCCAAGCCGTGCGCCAGACATGGGGCGCTGAGGGTCGCGTGCAGGGGGCACTCGTGCGCCGTGTGTTCTTGCTGGGCGTGCCCAGGGGTGCGGGCACAGACAGGACAGACACAGTGGGGGCGGGCACTCGAACACACTGGCGCGACCTGCTGCATGCTGAGAGCCGTGCATACGCTGACATCCTGCTCTGGGCCTTCGACGACACTTTTTTCAACCTAACGCTCAAGGAGATCCACTTTCTGACTTGGGCCTCTGCCTTCTGCCCCGACGTGCGCTTCGTTTTTAAGGGCGATGCTGATGTGTTCGTGCACGTGGGGAATCTGCTGGAGTTCCTGGCACTGAGGGATCCAGGGCAGGACTTGCTTGCTGGTGACGTGATTGTGCAGGCGCGGCCAATCCGCGCGCGGGCCAGCAAGTACTACATCCCTGAGGGTGTGTACGGCCTGCCAGCCTATCCAGCCTACGCTGGAGGGGGTGGCTTTGTGCTTTCAGGTGCCACGCTGCGCCGCCTGGTTGGCGCCTGCGCGCAGGTTGAACTCTTCCCCATAGACGACGTCTTTCTGGGCATGTGTCTGCAGCGCCTGCGGCTCACGCCTGAGCCTCACCCTGCTTTCCGCACCTTTGGCATCTCCCAGCCTTCAGCTGCGCCGCATCTGCGCACCTTCGACCCCTGCTTTTACCGGGAGCTGGTTGTAGTGCACGGGCTCTCTGCTGCTGACATCTGGCTTATGTGGCGTCTGCTGCACGGGCCGCATGGGCCAGCCTGTGCGCATCCACAGCCTGTTGCTGCAGGCCCCTTCCAGTGGGACTCCTAGCTACCCATCACAGCCCCAAGCTCCTCTCACTCAGACTCAGGAAGGAGTGGGAGGGAACCTGAAGGGGGTTCCCAGATGGATTATTGCTGTGTATGTGGTTCTTCTCCAGACTACCCGCTGTCTGCCTCCACAAGGTCCCAGGGAATGGAGATTGAGCTTGGCTTCTGCTGGCCCACCCTGCCGGAAGCCAGTCAGAAACGAATGTAATGGTGACCTTTTGAAATAGCCAGGACTGAGGTGGTGGAGGACCATCTCTTGCCCAATAGGCCCCAAGGTGGTGGACATGTTTGGTCCTCCTAGTAGTGAACACATGTGTGTTTGGTTGGGTGGGTGGCAGAGGCTCATGGAATCCTACCATACTTCTTGGTCTGGAACCCCTAAAATGATGCAGACACATGTATGACTCCTCAAAGGGAGGCCCCACAGAGAGGTACAGAGGGTCTTGGCTCCTTTGGGACCTGGCAGGCTTCCTGCCACAGCTCAATCTGAAAGTAGACATTTTGCTTCCTACTTGATCCTCCAAAGTAGATTCCCAGTCCTGCCCAGGTCTTTAGACCTTGCCCCTCTGAGGTCTGCTTTCCTGGAGCCAACCTCTCCTAGGCCCAGGAGGATGGAACCACAAACAGGGATACCCTCACAACTATGCCAGCCTCCTACTGGAGACTGTACCATCCTCTTCAGAGGAGCCAAGGAACGCCTTCCACGAAGACCTCCCCCACTATAATTTTCCTTATATTCTTCAACAACCCCCTTCCTCAGAAAACCAACACTTATTTTAGTACAAACGTCCCAGCAACAGCACATGAGGGGCCATTGCTGAGAGCACAGGTGCTTTATTGGAGAGGGGATGTGGGCAATAAGGACGGTTCCCCCGCTGCAGAAGGATGGGAACAGTCCTGGCTGCCCCTGACAGTAGGATGTACAGGGGTCTCTGGCCAGGCCACAGGCCACATGGGAAGACATCAGACAGTCAGAAAGCCATGAGAGCGCCACACAAGCCTGGCTGTAGGCCCAGGAACCATAAAGGAGCCTGGGGCAGGTCCCCTGCACATTCATCATTAAACTATACAGGATGAGGCTGTACATGAGTTAATTACAAAAGAGTCATATTTACAAAAATCTGTACACACATTTGAAAAACTCACAAAATCGTCATCTATATATCACAAGTTGCTAGACCAAAATATTAAAAATGGGATAAAATTATACATTTTTCTTCTCAATTCTTTTCAAAAGGATTAATATTTTTTAAAGCATATATATGCTACTTTCCATTAGCATGACCCATGAAGAGACTGAGCAGCCCAGCCTTCCTTGAGCCCCCAGAGGCTTTGAGCCATGAATGGGCCCAGCCAGGGGACAGTGCCCAGGGTTGGGGCAAGGAGCAGCCACAGTGCAGAACAGAATGCTAAAACACAACAAAAGAAGGAAGATGTCTTTGGCTAAAACTTTGGCATTAAATAAAAGAGGCAAACAGGATGGAAACATGCAGCCAGGTTGAGGCAGAACAGGGGCACAGGTGACCTTGAAAGCTGGCTTCAAGAGGGGTGGGAAACAGGCCTGGGCAAGTATCTGGATGGTAGAAAGCTATGTTTCAACCAGTTGGCTGTGCCTGCTGGGCCTGGCAGGGAGCACATGCAAGAAAGGAACAGGGAAGGGCCACCTTGGCCACAGCCAGCTCATCAAGTAACTAAAGTGGATGTAGTGCAAATGTCACAACCAAGTACTACAGACACACTACCTGCTTGCCTTAAGGGTCACGTGGCAATGTGGGGCCAAAGGCAGGACCTTGTCCTCATCCTGGGTGCTTGTGTCCTCCGCCACAGAGAGAACCCCAAGTTTTCCCAATGTATGTGGGACAGGGGTTGACACGTCCTGCCTCTTTACATGTTAGTCAAGGGTCCAGGTATCAAGGCTCAAAGTTTGTGCTTCTCTTTGCAGTCTGTGTCCCCTGCTGGCATCAGCAGGCTGAGGATGGACAGAGGAATATCTGGGCCCCTCACACCATGGCAGAGCACTCAGCCTGAGCCCCACCTTAGAACATCACAACAGCCCTTCAACATTGGCAAGGTGTCCAAGAAAACCCACAGGCTGGCACACAGAGGCCTGCTGAGGAAGATGCAATGCACAGTTCCACGGGGTAGAGGGGCATGGGTGGTGACGTCCCTAGGGGAGCTCCGCTGTTCGCAGGTGGGCACCAGGCCTGGGGGGGCCATACAGGGTCACTGAGGCAATGTGGTTGTTCTGCATGACCTAGTGTGAGAAGAGGACAGTGGGGAAGGATACAAGGGATGTAAGCAGATCCTGTGCATGGGGTCTCTGAGACTGTGTGTGAAACAAACCTGCACACAAGGGCTGGGCTTCCTGACCCCTCAACCTCCCCAACTCACACTAGGAGCTACCTCTGCTTGAGGACCTGCCTGTTTCTCATGGGATATGCACAGCCTTTACCACACCCTTCTGTCCAGTCCTCCTGGAACTGTTAAGTGCCTGCTGAAGGTATGGCATCCAGAGGGAAAACAGGGGCAAGCCTGTTTTCCTCCCAAATCAGGGAGCGCCTCTAGAGCCACTAGCCCACAGTGCACCCATCCACATGGCACTCAAAAGCTCCCAACACCCTGGGCTGGGCCTGACTTGCCTGTGGTTCTCTTCCCTGCTTTATCCATATTTCTAGATATAAACTTGAGATCCTTCTTACCTCTCATCTTGCTGGATATAGACCATTGCTCCGGCCTCTGTGACCTGAAATTTCCCCAGCATCATTCCTAAACCCTCACTGGTAAGTGTGGGCAGGCCAGGTAATCAGCAGACAGGGTTGCTGGGAGAAGAATTAATCTGCCCAGCATGGCAGTCAGGCTCTTCCCAATTTCCATCAATCACTTGCCTGTCCCTGCCATGTCTCCCAACCCCTCAGCAGCTTACTTCTAGAGCCTCTAGGGGCTTACCTCAAAGATCATCCGCTGAAGACCAAAGCAGAATGTGGAGCCAAATGGGTTGGTGTTGTTTGGGGAGGAGGACCTGGGGCCAAAGAAGCCAGAATTAGAGGATCAGACAGAGGCCAAGGCCAAGTAAGACATCTGGTTCCTTTTAGAATGTGGGCTATACGGCTGCGTGTCTCTGTCTCCCACATAGGCCCTCAAGGTCCCAGGGGTAGGGATGGCCTCACTTAACTCAGAATCCTACACAGCCCAACAGGACACAGAAAGTTACTGTGGAGCTGGACTGGAGTGATGAGAAGTCAGGAGGGCCCTTTCAAGTGAGAGAGCCTTAGGCAGCATGGCAACCAGGAATGGGGCTATGGACTATAGCAGGTAATGGTTTTGATGGGAAAAAAGAACCCAGAACAGCCAGCTGAGACTACCTCCCTTTCTGAATAAGTAAGGGTGAGAAGGCTCCCATACCTGGAGGTAGGGTGGGGAGAGAGGAGCTATCCCTGGGGGCAACCTCTCTATCACAGGTAACATGCCAAACAGTTGGCCCAGTCCTAATACGTAGGAAGGATGTTTGTGGCAACACCAGAAACTTCTGTAATTTCTAAGCAATACCCACTGCACCAGGCTTCCCTGGCCTTCTGGGCTGTGAAGAGCAGGGTGGGGTGGCCAGAGACCACAACCTCCCACTCACCTGTGCAGAACAACAGGCTTCTCCACAGGGTGGCCCAGGAGCTCTTGAATGTTGTCCCACTGCAAGAGGGATAGGGAGCAGCAGGGGTTAGCAGGGACCTGAACATGCCTGTGACCAATGGCTGGTCCAGAGGACATGGCCCCAGATTGCTGGCAGGCTCATGTCCACCTCATTCTCGGGCTGCGTCAGGTAGGAAAATAGGAGCTCACCTTGCTGTAAGTTGTGCATGTTTCTGTCTGACCATCTGTGTTTTCTGAAAAGAGAACACGGGGGGCAGGTTGTTAGCTGGTCCAGCCCACCTGTGGCCCCAGCCCTCAGCAGGATCCAGAGCTGGCCATCCTTTGCACTGGGGTTGGAGTATGTAGGGAGAATAGACAGGCTGTTTTGGAGTTCCAGGGTGGACAGGATAGGGGCAGGGAGGTGAGAGGCGGCCAGTCGGATGTGAGCTACACCAACTAGCAGTGGGCAGCAAGCACCAAGGATGTGCTGGGGGCACATGGATGGTCATCTGTAGACAAGAAACACTCCCCTTCAGAGGCCAATAATCCCACAGTCATAGGAAAAGGTCTGAGGGCCTCCAGAACAAGGAGCCCACCCCAGAGGAGCTGAGGCTGTGGGCAGAGACAGGTGGGCAGAGGCTCCGGACACCTAACCACTACTCCCCTCTCTACTCAGCTCCTTCTCTCTTCTCATAATGGGGAATTGACTCCAAAACTCCTTCCTTACCCTGAGGACATTTACTACTCACGTTTCTTGATAGCTAGTGGGATCTTGAACTCACAGCGATGATAACTAGAGAGAAGGCAGAAGGGTAAATGCTGGGCCTCCTGGAAGGCCTGACCACTCCCACATCCCAACTCTGCTCCCCAGGAAAAATAGAACCAAACACACCTGTCCAAACTCTTGGCTCTGAGCCCCTGACACAGCATTCACTGGGGGAGGCCAGATTTAGGCACTGAAGTTGAACAAAAAAGTGCATGGCCATGGGCTCTTAAGAGCCTATCACCTTGGATAAAGACATTAAGCTTTCTGAAGTGATTTCCTATTTGTAAAATGGGTTCAAATGCAGAGATGTAAAGCATTGGACATTGTGCAAGGAACACAGCAAGCACTCAATAAATGTCCACTTCCCATGAAACAGCAAGAATTCAGTTGTAGATAAATTAGTGAACACCCAAAGCCACAAGCTTTCTTTTGTTTTTCAGCCCAAAGTTCACTTCACAGAAAGGCAGATACAGCTGTACTCACATGTTGAAATTATAATGACCAGGGTAATTGGTGTGTAGGACAAACTTCTTCACTTTGTGTGTATTTGCATCAAAGAGGATGTCCTGGGATAGAAAATGAGGGTATTCAAGTAGGGAATGTTACTGAGGCAGAGTAGGGGTCTTTCCAAGGCCATGTCCAACTTGGAGACACCCACTCCACAAGGGGGATACCCGCAGGCATCAGCTTTCTCCCAAACGACAGTCAAGGAGACGGCTAAGGCCAAGCATCTTTAACTAGACATTTTCAGCGAGTGGGGAGCCACCAACCATCTGTAGACCTGGTAGGCACAGGGGTTACAGCTATCATTGCTTGGGAACTAAAACATAAGGGAGATCTTTCCTGCCAGTGGAACCTGATAAAAAAAATCTAACTGAGAGCAGATTCTGGCTGA